TTTTTTTTTTTCGTCACTCTCCTTTGAAAAAAAATTTTTTCTTTTATTCCCACTCTTCTTTTTTTTTAAAAAAATTACTTCTTTCTATTTCTATTTCCTCTTTATAAAAAATTTTTTATTTTTCTAACTATGATGTCCTCCCTTCCCTATAAAAAAAAAATTCTTTAAAATGTACTTAAAATATACTTATGTATTTTTTTAAAATATACTTAAAATATACTTATATATTTTAAAATATACCTAAAATATACTTAACATTTTAAAATATACTTAAAATATACTTAAAATTGTTAAGTATATTTAAAGTATAAAATTTTATACTTAAATTACATTTAAAATATACTTAATTGCAATTTAAATATAATTTAAGTATATTATAAGTACATTTAAAAATTTTAAGTACATTTTAGATATATTTTAAAATATTTAAGTACATTTTAAGTATATTTTAAAGAAATTTTTTTTCATAGGGCTTTAAAAAAAAATTTTTTTTTAACTTTCCTAACTTCGTTACCCCTCTTTTTAAAAAAATATTTTTTTTGGTTTATTCTTTATTCCCCTTTCTTTTTTATTTATATTTAATTTCATAGGCCAGCAGATTTTTTTTTGTGAGAATATTCAGTTTCTTTTTTCTTTTTTTGTAGATCAGTTTAGGAGTCCTTTTTTTTTGTAGGATGATTCAGGATTTTTTTCTTTTTTTAGGTCAGTTCAAATTTTCTTGTTTTTTTGTAAGTTGGGTTCAGATTCTTTTCTTTTTGTAGTTGTTTCAGTTTTGTTGCTTCAGAGTCTTCTTTTTTTGTAGGTCAGTTTTGGATTTATTTTGTTGTTTTGGTTTCTTTTCATTAGACGCCTCATAATTCTTTTCTTTTATGTATGTCAGACATTCTGGAGTTCTCTTTCTTTTTTTGTAGGAATGCTGACCTTTGGTGACTTGGACGATTGCAGATACTATATGGGGTTTTGTTTATAATCTTTTTTTTTTTTGTTCTTTTAGGTTGTTTGACTCCAAATGAACCTGAACTTAGATAATTTTGGTTGCAATAGGTGGTTTTAATAAGGAGGGAATTTTCATAATGTATTTGTACTTTGTTTATTTTTTATTTTTTATCTAATTTAATAAAGTAAAATTAGATTTATGTAAATACAATTATAGTAAACTGTAATACAAATAGTAAATTTAGTGACCAAATCGTATAAATTTCGTGATAAAATCAGTGATCAAATCATGTAAATTCCATATAAATCCCGTGCAAATTCCGTATCCAAACCATATTTTTAGTGATACGGAATTGTGCATTTTTCCGTATCCTATTATGATACGTTATTTCTAAGGAAAAAAAATCGTATAAAAACTTTATAAAAAACGTATCCAATTTTTTTATAGGGAGTGCTACAGTAGAACAGCTATCATAAACCAGACCCTCACTTGTAAAAAAGTAACCTCTGTTCCCTACTACGACCAATAAGCAACAATAATGACGCATACCTAAAAAAATTAAAATTAAAATCTAAAAAATAATTATTATTGTGCTGCAGGAATACTAATATTTAAAAGATGTAGGTGATTAGACATAAATAAAATGGATGAATTAAATAAAAAACTAATTGTTTCCTTACATTTAATCTTTTTTGAAATTTTTGGTTGTGATAGCATGTAAGAGAATTATATTTATATTTACATTATTACAGTAATAAATTACTTTTTGTAAATCATTTTCAACATGTCGGGAAAATGTCTGTCGGGATATATGTTGTCGGGATAATGTCATGTAGGGAAAACTAGAATGTCGGTATAATGTCCATTAGAGATGTGTCATGAGGACCCAGAAATATATATATAGGGGTTAGGTGATGAAAAAAATTTTTTACTATGAGCTGTACGCATTTTTTCAGGGCCGGAATTATGATAATGTCAGTCGGTTACTATAATAGGAAATAAAATTCTGACTGGAATTATCTAAAAAAGGAGAGATTTTCATGATTTTTTAATTCAAAATACGCAAACTCAAACCTGACACTTTATATATATTTCTGGGTCCTTGTCCTGTCAGTAAAATGTTCATTCGGGAATATGTCTTGTTGGACAATCGTTGTCGGGCAAAGGGTATGTCAGGAAAAAGGTTGTCCGACATCGTTATACCGATACCATTAACTATTTCTCAAACTTAATTAACTATAGTTTTCATACTGTTTATCGTACTGTTTTTCGTTCTTTTTCGTTCTATTATTTTTTAATAAATTGGCAACATACATTCAATTCAATTTTACACAAAAAAATTTTTTTCTTCTTTTGATCGTCATTGATCGTCATTCTAAGATATAATGGGACAGAATCGATGATCAGTAATATTCGGGATTTCGGAACCGATAATTATTGGCATGTATTCTCATTAAAATTTTTTGTTTTTAGTTTAGCAAAATTTTTTAAATACATCAATTAAATACATTCAACACATTAGACCAATAAAGGCTTTTTCTAAATTCTTTTCTGTTCCATTTCCTTTTTTATAATAGATTACTAAAAGAAACATTGCACATTAAATTGTTGATACATCAAATAAATTATACTAATTTGAATTTTAATAAAAAAATTGATTCTTTTGGAAATTAACTAATTTCGGGATTGAAAATGGTCCCTTTTTTTTGCTGTAAGTTCAAAGAAATATGTAACATACATAATAAGCAACTAAACAAAAATGGCAATTTAAACAATTGTAATTCTTGAAAAAATAAATATATAAAGACATTAAGAATAATCCATTTTTCGTCCCTTACCTTTTGATTTTTTTTTATCAAAAAGTACGGGTACGTAAATAATATTATTATATATTATATAAAAATGAAATTAAATCTCAAGAAGGTCTCGATCCTTTTTATCTCATTATTTGTAATTTGTTTATTGGCCATTCCAGGAAGAATTCATAATGTTGATAATGATGAACATCTTCATTTGAGAGCCTATACTGATGAAATTCAAAAGCGTCATGAACCGTTTAAATTTATTCAAACCGATTATTTTAAACCTTTTGTACATCTACCTTTTACTAATAAATCAGTAACTCGTTATTATCAATTGACATTAAAAAAAGTTAAATTATCTCCTGATGGTTTTGAAAGAACTGTTTGGAGGGTTTAATGGTCAATATCCTGCTCCAATTATTCGTGCAAATCAAGGAGATAGAATGATCATAAATGTTGAAAACAGATTTGGTGATCCAGCAGGTATTTAAATTTTTTTTTCAAAAAAAAAAACTTTTAAATATTAGATTCATTTTCTTCTTTAAAAATTTTTAGCCGTCCATTGGCATGGTATGCTCCAACATGGTACAAATTGGTACGATGGAGTTCCAGGACAAGTAAGTAAAATTATGATTATTTTTTTCTAACGTTTGTTTTTTTTTAATACTTAATAAAAAGTGAACTTTATTCAATAATAATATTAGACTCAATGTCCAATTCCAAATGATGTTTCATTTATTTACAATTTTACTACTGGAGACCAACACGGTACCTTTTGGTATCATTCTCATTTTATGGCTCAATACGCTGATGGCTTACGAGGAGCATTAATGTAAAGTATTATAATAATTTTATATACACTCACATTACTAATTGTATATTTTAATAAATAAAGTGTCCACGTTCCAGATGATCCATATTTAAAAGAATATGATTATGAATACGTCATTACATTGTCTGACTGGCATCATAGGTAAAAGAAATTATAAATTATCTCATTTCTTTATAAAATTCGAAAATTTTATTTATTAAAAAATTAACTTATTAATTATAAAGAACAACTGGTGAAATCTTACCAAATTTCATATCTCCAACTTATACTGGTAGACGACCCGTTCCTGATTCACCACTTTTGAGCGGTCGTAGTAGATATAACTGTAATGGGGTTCCAGATGGATCTAAATGTAAACCAAATGCTCCATTGGCGGTTTATAATGTTAAAAAGAATAAAAAATATAGATTTCGTATAATCAACACTGCTGCAGATGCTTTCTTCATATTCTCTATTGATGAATATAAATTAAAACTTATTGAATCAGAAGGTATATATATTAAACCAACTATTATTGAAAAATTACCTATTAATGTTGGACAACGTTATTCTATAATTGTTAATGCTGATCAACTGATTGGAAAGTATTGGATACGTGCAACTATCGATAAAAGATGTGCACTAATTAACAATGCGACAATTAATTTTAATTCTTCTATTGATTGGAATAGTCTTGGTATTCTTAAATATGAAGGATCAAAAAAATGATAAACCTAAATCAAAAGAATTTGTCGAAAATTTCAAAATTTGTCGTGATTAGGGATCAGAAAAGATTCGATTAAAATCGAAACTATCGAAAATCGATAAGAATCGATTTTAAATCGAATCTCGAATAAAAATCGAATCTACTTATTGTGGCGCAGTTTCATTAATTTGACAACTACCCGGCAATTTTTGCACAGATGTCACATATCATATAATATCAATTACATGATTTTGATATTTGCTTTACCTTTTATAGTTGAACGATGGTTTTATTTTAATATTTTTTGTACTACAACTTTAGTCTCCATTTTTCGCGTCTCCTTACGTCTCTATTAAATATACAAGTTTTAAATAAAAAACTTTTTTATTATAAAACTCATTAAATTTTCAATTTAACACTTGTATTTCGTTAGTTTATACATTTAAAATGGTTGATCAAGTATGTACGTGTTGTAATATAAATAAAGATTTATCTTTCTTTCAAGGAAAAAATGGCAAGATTTTTAAACAATGTAGTCAATGTCGAGCAGAAAGAAGATCTTTTTATCAGTAAAATAAAGAAAACTTTGACCCAGTTAACCATGTAAAAACACATAGTCCTAAAGAGATGTCTATTGCGTTAAAAGAGTTGATTTATTCAGTAGGTCAGCAAGAGTATGTGGAGAATTTTGATCATGGAATAGCATTTTTCCAAACTATTACACTTGAAGATTTTAGTGGTTCAGCAAAAGAAATTGCAGATAATATAAGAAATCTTGTATGTGAGAGTGATGGATATTATTATATGTAAGTATTACACTCTTTAAAAAATACTTTTTGATTAATGGAATGCTAGCAAAAATTCATTCTATATATTTTTATATTAGATTCAATTGTGATTATCAATCAAAGAAAAAAGAGCCTATTTCTAGTTTTTGGTACAAGTGTTCACAAAATTCTGATTTAACTAAAAGGGCTAGAAAAATTGAAAATTTATCAAAGCAGCGTGATAAATTGCCTATTACGAGATATGATTGTAATGGAATACTTAAAATCGCAATAGATATTAATTCAAAAACAGCTGATATTCAACTTTATCATGATTTAATCCATGATAGACCAGAAAGAATCAGTGTAAATCAAGAAATCAGAAACTTTATAGGTGATAGGCTTCATCAAACTCCTGCTGAAATTTTTAGTCAATTAGAGATTAATAATCCAAATTTAACACAGAAGCAATGTCACTATTGGTGGACTATACTAATTAAAAAACAATATCAAAAAGATTTAGATCAGTTAAAATCAAGTTTATTATTATTAGAAGAAAGCAATAAAGAGATAATAATGCAAAATATTGTTGGAAATGTCAAATATTTGGCATTTATTATGCCATTTTTCAATAAACTTATTCATAATCAAGAAATTCTTATTGATGCAACTTGTAAGCATTATTTTATTGATTATTATTTTACTAATTTGTTTTATATTAATTTTAATTAATTTGAAATTAGACAAAACCAATGCATTAAATTTTGAACTATATGCAGTTATTGGTCAGATAGATGGTGCTAGGTTTGCAGCTGCATATCTGTTTCTTGATAATGCCAAAAAGGATGAAGGAGTTAGAACTGAAATATTAACTGCATTCTTAACTAATTTAAAAAAACTTGGTTTGCAATTTATTAATTATTTATTTATTTTTTAACAGATAAAGACTGGTCTCAAATCAATGCTGCCAAAATTGTGTGGAGTAATTGTAAAATTCAACTTTGTCTTTGGCATGCAAAAAAATCAATCAAAAAAAAATTAGCAGATAATTCAGAGCCAAAATATAATGCTTATAATCCTATTGAAGCCAATTCCCAATTTTCTTTCATTGATATTCTATGGTGTCCTATTATACCACCTAATTTACCATTTATTTTTTGTCCTAAGACCTTACAGGTAAAAATTTTAGAATTGTTTACTAAGCATTTTCACTTACATCCACTCATTCCTATTGGGAGTGGAGAATTTTTATCAAGTGAAGACATTTGGAAATTATTAACAGAAGAAATGTATAACTTTTGTTATGAAAATGACTTAAAATATGTCTGGGCTTACATGTGGTGTAATTGGTATAAATTTAATTTATGGGTATTATGGGCACGAGCAGCAGATCCAGAAAAAATTTGTATTTTCAAAACTACAATGTTAGTAGAATCTCACTGGAAAGTAATCAAGAGGAATTATTTGCCCAGATTTTTAGACCGCGTTTAGATTTGGTCACTTTTATCATAATAACACGTTTATTACCTCATAGTGAAGCCATGTATAACAAATATAAATCAGGAAGGGAAAAAGTTTCTTGGAGAAAAGAATTTAAGAAATGTTGGAAAAATTTAGCAAAGCAAGAATTTTCAGGCAAGTTATATTATACTAATACAGATCAATGGATTTGTAGTTGTCTTGCATTTCTTAATAATAGGTTTTTTCTTTGTAAGCATTTGGTTAAATCAGTTAATAATATAATTACTATAGAATTTTTTAATATTGTACAAAGACAAGGCATTTATCCTCTTCTTGGTATGGTACCTGAAGAGCAAAACTATTTTAATGGAACTTTATTGAACAAAGTAGCAGGTGAAAAAAGATCAGAAGGTGAAATGGAAGGTACAAACATAACAGAAGGTGCAGAAGATACAGAAGATGTAGAAGGAGTAGAAGAAGTAGAAAGGATGAAAGGTATAGAAATAACAGGAGTATTTTTAAATTTTTTCTTTTAAAATATATCTAATATTAATTAAATTTAATTGTAAATAAAAATTAGAAAACATGGAACAAAAGTTTCAAGAAATTGAGTCCTATCTTGATCAGGCAATATCAATTGTACATGAGCAACATGCCTCAAACAACTACAAATGAATAAAAGCAGTGGATAAGAATTTTGATGGAGTTCGAAAGCTTGTTAATGATATTACAAAATTTAATAGACGAATTACCAATCCACGAACTTGGAAAGATAATACAAATTCAACAATGTATCTTGAATAATAAAAAATAATTGAATAAATTTGATTTTCTTTAATAAACTTCATAAAATTTTATTAAATATTATATATTAAAATTATATAAATCTAACCAAAATCTAATAAAACTATTTACTACTAGTATATTAAATAAAAATATATGATAATTATCCTGTTCCCATAAATCTAACTGCTCTTACATATTAGTATCTATTTTGTAATGCTGTAACAGTTAATCCTGTTAAAAGACAAACTGTGTTAGATAATAAGTCTATATAACATTTAATTCCAATAAATCAAAGACCATTTTGTAATTAAAAAAAGCAAGAAAAAAAATTATAAGCACTATAGTATAAAAACAAAGAAACTTACACGCGAATTTTTTTGTCTATCCGTTCACGTTCAGTAATTGTAGATTGTAATTTATTAAAGAAAAACATTCCTAAAGTCAAGGTAAATATGTATAAACTAACGAAATACAAGTGTTAAATTGAAAATTTAACGAGTTTTATAATAAAAAAGTTTTATTTAAAACTTGTATATTTAATAGAGACGTAAGGAGACGCGAAAAATGGAGACTAAAGTTGTAGTACAAAAAATATTAAAATAAAACCATTGTTCAACCATAAAAGGTAAAGCAAATATTAAAATCACGTGATTGATATTATGTGATATGTGACATCTGTGCAAAAATTGCCGGTGTTGCTGGGGTAGTTTAATTTGACTGTAAATTATTATTTGTTCATAATAGTTAATTTTGGCCAAATTCATAATTCCGCCCGCGAATCACGTGACAGGACACAAACTTCCTAAAAAGGAAATTTTATCTCCCAATAAAATTCAAGTTGCTATCGCACAAGGTTGTACAAATTTCCAAAAAAGGATATTTTTTCGTCGATCACTGTAATTTTTGTAATCACGTGATATGTGTTTAAACACACCTATTATAAATTGTATAAAAAAAAATCGGTATTTGCGAAACGATTAATCGCGATTAATCGATTTTAGAATCGATTCTAATAATGGGAATCGATTCCAATCCCTAGTCGTGATCTTGATCCAAAACATTTGACACCTCTTCAACCCGTTACAAAATATGATGGAAATGTTAGTTAGTGCTTCGACCCGGATGAAAACTGTCATCCGGATTACACAAAAAAAAAATCTGGATTATATCCGGATTGACCCAGATTTTAAATCCGGATCAGATAATCCGGATAGAAACCAGAAACCGGATTGGATTTACAAATGATCGGCAATAATTCTGGCCAGAATTCATAATGCCGGCCAGAATTACAAATTGTGTAACATTTTACCCAGTGGCTAAACTATTTTCTGGTGTCACGTGATGTTAATTTCGGCCAGAATTACAAATTTGGCCAAAATTATCCAAGACCACGAAATTTACATAATTCCAATTTCATTTTAAAAATACTTTTCTTTAAAACAATTTCATATTATTTCAGCATTGTCTCAGACTATTGTTTAACATTTCTTTGTAAATTAACTAATTATAAAATTTTAAACAAGATATTTTTATATACAGCTAAAGATTACTATAAATAGATGTGTTGGGTTAGTAAGGCAATTTTTTAAGGATTTGTTTCTTCTTTCAAAAATTAAAGAATCATTTGAATCAAATTATATAACACTAGTTTTAATTTTTAAAAAAAGTTGTTATAATTATATAAATTTATAATATTGAACAATTTTTCATTTAAAACAATAATTATTATTTTGTTGTAACAAAAATAATATAAAGTTTTTTTTCTTTTGAACGTTTGAATGTGAAATCTAAAATTATTTGTTATTTGTTAATGTATAAATTTAAATAAACAAATCTGATACAAACTTCAATAAATAAATTATAATCGAAAAATCTTCTTAAACTTACTGTATTAAAAAGTTTAATATAACAAATATAAATTTAATAAATTTTAATAAAAAAATTGGTATTAGGCACAAAAATAATTAGCCATTATATCATTTAGATATAGATCTTTATGGATCAGCAAAATTATTATTAATAAAAAAAAAATAATAAAAATTTCATCCGGATTCTGGGTCAAACTGGATATTTTTCATCCGGTTTATAATCCGGATGAAAACCGTGAAAATCTGAATATCTGAAAAAAAAAAAAATCTGGATCAATCCGGATTGATCCGAATACGGGTCGAGGCACTAATGTTAGTGACTTTTTCAATATTACCGTTAAATTTCAAAAAGAAGGTGATGGTATAGTAAAAGCTGTAATGAACAATAGTTCATTTATACCACAATTTAATGATCCAACCATAAATAAAATTATAAGACATATTCCACCAGAAGAATTACCTAAAGAACAAAATTCATTAATTTTTGATAATAAAAATGGTATAGTAGAAATTGCTTTATGGAATAATAATACTGATGAACATCCATTTCATATGCACGGACACGTTTTTGGTGTAATGTTTGTTGGTGAAAAAAATGAATATCCTGATGAAAAAAAATATAATAAGAAAAATCCTGTAATTAGTGATAATGTGACCGTTCCTGGTTTTGGATATTTGGTTATACGTTTCATCGCTGATAATCCTGGTATTTGCTTGGGCTTTTCATTGTCATATTGAATGGCATGTAGAACTTGGACTGGTTCTTCAATTAGTAGAACTTCCTAGTATTTTAATGAATGAAACTATACCAAATGATGCTTCATCTTTATGTTTTAAAAATGATTATCAAAAGAAGAGAAATCCTACGACACCATTTCATAATCGTGAAAGAATGTTTAATCCTGTTATAATTAATGAAATTAGAAGAGATATTAATAAAATCAGATAGAAAAAAAAAAACCTTTTATAAATATATTTAGATTTATTAAACATATTAGTAGTGAATAGGGATGGACCTTATAAGTATTTAGTAACTAAAATTTTTATTTAATTAAATTGAAAATTTTTGCTTTTTTAATTTATAGTTAATTGATAAGTAGTAGTTAATGATAATAATTATATTCTAATATAATTGATCAAAATAGACTTTTATGATTGATCATTTATCTTTGCTTGAAAGTTTTGAAAGTTTGAAAGTACAAATCCTTAATTCATATAATTAATTAATTAATTGGAATGATATTTTTAATTTTAAATTTAATAAAAAAATTATTTCGAGATATTGGTATCGCCAAATTCACCATAAAATATTTTGTTATAATTTTTCCGAAGTCACATATAACCGTCCAACTATCATTTTTTTACAGGCGATCCTAGGGGGCGATCCTAGGGCTGTTAGCCTGTTACTACATCAATGTCATGTTATGTTATTTTAATATAAACGAAAAAAAATCAGCAGAAAAGTTTATAAATAAGCAATTAAAAGACAATCATAGTGATTTATCATACTATTTTTCAAAAAAAATTATCATCGTTATACTTACTATACTAACAACATTTTTAACTACAAGTCAGGGTAGTCCATGATCTTTACTCAGAGTTTGCAAAAAAACTTTTTTGGATAACAAAAGCTCAACACATGATCTCTCAAATGGGACAAACATTAATTTTAGGAAAAAAAATGCTTTTTTTATCTTTTTATCTTACTTACATCTTACGTACGTCCATTATTCGATTAACTTTTCATGAAAAAAAATTTTTTTTTTTTCACGTTGAGAAATTCTCGATTAACTTTTTCATAATAAAATAATTACACAATAGTTTATTTTGTATTAAATTTATAAGTAATTATCAAATAGACATTTCCGTAGATATCGATGTTGTAAACTTTATTATTACTCTATTACTCGTACTAATCTATTTAATTTTATGAATCATACTGGTTTATGTCTTTTAACTTCTTTAATCTATTATATATTTATATACCAGATAAAGGAACCAGGTTTACCTTATTTTCTAATATTTTTTTTTAAATAATAACCGGTTAAAAAAACCATATGCTTAACATCATTAAAGAACTCAAAAGAAATTGAATTTAAAGTATTGGAGTGAATAACAAAAATCATAATTGAAACGAAATAGTTCCAATGAGTTTTTTGCTTTAAAATTTAATTAATTTAAAAATTTTACATTTATGATACAGGTCTGAGGTCTCATGATTTATTTGAGCTTTTGATAACTTAATGATATTCTTTAAAAAAAAACTGAATGTCAAATCTTGATATTCTTATACTAAAAAAAAGGAAATCGTGAGTTTATCTAATTGAACATTTTTTGGAGTTAGTTGTTTATAGAAATTAAAATGAATTTAATAAAAAATGTGTGTCATTCAACAAACATTTTAATGTATTATGGAGTGTAATATTTACATGAGTAAAAATTTAATACTGTAATGTAATTATTGCTAATATCTTAAATGATCTCTAGATTTATCCGATAGAAAAAAAAAATTATTTGAAATAATGAAAATTTACTATGAATATAATCTATTTTGTAATTACTTTTCTCACAGAAAGTCGCTCACACACTATTCATGCTACGCTGTTGCTTACAAAATTAATTTGTATTGTGTAGTTTAAATTTCGAGTTATGACATTCTAGATAATTTTTTCCGATAGTATAATAGATTACAGTAACTTTCTTATTTTCATCAAGTTGATTTTTGATTTGGAATTATTAAATTATAAAGTAAACTCTAGCGTCATATTTGTATTAATGTGATGCAAATTTGATTGGTTCCTTTTAGGTCCTGGTATTTAACAATAAAAAAAAAATAAAAAAGAGGATAAAAATGTACACAATAAAATACCTAACTAATACATAATTAAATCACAAACAAAATTTATATTAATTAAAATTTGTGTTGGCTAAAAAATCTACCTAGACTAACTTTATATGCAGTACACTGTACGTCAAAAATCCGAGTCAAAATACTGTACCACCCGTTGAGCTACTAGTAATGCAACTTTTACTAACCAACTAAAACTAGCACTCCTAATATTCAATTGCTCTCACAGACACAAGTCACACAATCCACAAGCAGTTATCCTGGAAATCTTAACTTTCAAAGCAAGGGGTCCTGATGATCGTCATACCGCAGCAAATGATTTATATCGGCTAAATTTATGCCGATTCTTTTTTATCCTCATTGAGGTAGATTGCATATTTAATTGATACAGGTACGGAGTTACACAACAGGTGCAATTCAACGAATATTTATGTATTAGGTAACACTAAATTTTTTTTGTGACCGTGGAATTCTTTTTCAAACAAAATTTGAGACAAACTTACTTCTAACAGAATTATAAAATAAAAATGAGCTTTATTAATGAAAACCAACTAACATCTGAATTTAATGAATTAAATATTTCTGATAAAGATTCTAATTCCGTAAAAATTAATCATGAAAATTGTTATAATCCACCTAGAAAATTGTGGTGTAAAGAATGTGTTCCTCATTGCATAATTGAAAGATGGACCAGTGGAAATGATGATATTGATAATCTTATCAAGGATATAATTTATAATGCGACACAAAGACATGGTTATCCATCATTTCTTGAATGGGTTTCATTTGATAGATTTGAAGATATGAAACAAATAGGTGAAGGCGGATTTGCAAAAGTATATTCTGCAACTTGGATTGATGGTATAGCAAAATACATTAAACAAGATGATGGAAATTGGATAAAAAGTGAACCAAAATCCGAAAAAGTTGCTTTAAAAAGGCTGAATGGATCACAGAATATGTCAGCTGATTTTTTGAATGAGGTATATTTTTTTCACATTTACTTATTATAATTTTAATAACTATTAAGATTAATTTAATTTATTTTAATTTGTATAATAGCTTAAAACACATTGGAAATTAAATTGCTTTCAAGATACTTCTTTAAAATTTTATGGAATAACTAAAGATCCAGCAACTGAAGAATTTATGATGATTATGCAATATGCAGATGATGGAAATTTGAGAAATATTCTTTCAAATAATTTTAATAAAATTTTCTGGAATGATAAAATTAAATATTTATATTATACAGCAACAGACCTTAAAAATTTACATAAATTAGGATATTTTCATAAAGATTTTCATAGTGGAAATATATTAAATATTTATGGAATTTCTTATATTTCAGATTTTGGATTATCTAGACCATCAAATGAACAGAAATCATCAGATAGTAATAAAATAGTTGGTGTGTTGCCATATATTGCTCCAGAAGTTTTAAATGGAGAACCATATACATTATCTTCTGACATTTATAGTTTTGGTGTAATTATGACTGAAATATCATCTGGGAAACCACCTTTTCATACAAGAAAACATGTTAATAGCTTAGCATTAGAAATATGTAATGGACTCAGACCAGAATTTGGAAAAGGAACTCCTGAAATTTATAAGAAATTAGCTCATAGATGTATGAATGCTGATCCAAATCAAAGACCAACAGCCAATGAATTATATGAAATATTAGATTGTTGGTATTATTATTTTGATTATGAAAAATATGGTTATAAAGGAAAAGAAGTTATATTTGTATTTGATGAAGCTGATAAAGAGATACCAAATATTTCAGCCTTGTATGAAAAAGATCCTGATGCTATTTACACTAGTAGAGCATTTACATTTAAAAATTTATCAAAACCTATTAATTCATCTTTTATTGTTACAACATATCTTAATGAAGAAGATAATGATGGTATTGTATTATATATTATTTTTTATAAATTTTATAAAATAATTAAGATAATATTCATTATAATAGGTTGTCAGGATTCTCAGTTAGTTGACTTAGAGATTTCTAGTTCATTAAAATTAAAGGGTGAGTATTAACTTATTACCTTTATCTATTTTACATGATGTAGAATAAACTTAATAATTTTTAAATAATAGATGATGATGTTGACAACTAAACGAATCAAATTCGAAATCTTATACTCAAATATTGTTTTTTATTTTTTTATACTATCTTAAGATATTATGTGGATTTTTTTTATTAAATATTTTTATATACGTAATATCGTAAAGGAAAAATCTACTTTCATGGCTTTGTAATTAGTTGTTTTTATTCCTATTGCTATTTTCTCACTTCTAGTTAGTTCAATAATTCATTCCTACTTGTCATCTTGTATTAAAATAATAAAATAACAATTAAATAATAATTTTTTAAATAATAAATTTGGTTTTTTACAGAAATTAATACAATAATCATTTTATTGCAAACTTATTAATAACAAAAATAATATTAGATCTATCAAATATTCTATAACCACTCGACAGCAAGAAGCAAGCAGTTCACCAAAATGCAACTAAGAATCAAATGTATCTTATATCTTTGCGTAATAATAAATTTATTATATAAATATATCTTGTTATCAACTTGAAATAAAAAAAATTATAAATTATATTTTTTTTTTTGTATGAAACTTATTTCACTTTAATTAGGAATGGAATAACTCACTTAGTTTGCGAACTGATACTGTTGAAAAACTAAATTGAGTAGAGTCAAGCTGAAAAACCAGTTCCATAATCAGTTTTTGTCACTTTGTCCAGATCCGAGACAGTACATATCAAATTTATTAAAACCAATTTGAAACTGTTGACGCAACAAACTGAATGGAGCGAACTGACTCGAGTAGCTCAATCCGAAATTTTTTCATCCCTTTAATATAATTAGAATTGGTTTATATTATTGTTTTGTTAATTACATTATAATGAAAATTTATTCAAAAGACTGGAATGATAATTGAAGCCCTTTTCAGATATAAAAAATAAATTTTATGAATTGCATTAGGTTTCTATATCATTTAAAAAATCCATATGTTAAGCTTTTTGCCTGCAGTTTGATTGAATAATTGATGATAAACTTTATTAGATTATATTAATATTGAGTCAATAAAATTTAATGTATAAATGGATTAATAATATAATTGTTATATAATTGAACTAACTTTATTAATTCATATTGCAATTGCGTCAGTACATATAAACAGATTAATGAAAATATTAAATAAATTCTTTGATCCCTATATTAGGAAATATTAACAACTGAGAATGAATTAAGTCTTTTATTTTTTTATTTTTTACTACACTATTATTAATCAGAGCGTTACTGCGCTTTATTAATTTATTTCTGAATTAGTCAAACACGGTCAATCGTATAACCACTTGCATGACCTAAAAATTACGTAACATTAATTTGCCTTTTTTTAAATAAATACCCTGACATATGTTCCAGATTTATGAAAATCAATAAAATCATTTCCCAAAAATTTTATGAAACAATATTAAGAACAATATATTAGTTATTGATTTTGACGGACCGATATTTTTTGTGAAAAATGACCGAGTTATACTATATCTTATGTACAGTGTATTATAGTATATACCCTCGGCTAAAATTTGTTACAGTTTAATTATACTTATTATGACCCACCTGTGGGTCAAGTTTAATACATATGACGTGTCAAAGATTCATAATTTTGCTATATATACCCTACTGTTATTGCAAATAATACTGAACCCTCGATCAGATTAGTTAACCATGGACATAAATCAACTTAACCAATTGAAACGCAACAGTTCAGAACTTCAGGAACCTTTACATCAAAGAGTTGTTTCACAAAAAGGACCAGAAACGATTGATGACTGGGAAATGATAAAAGAATGTTTTATGGCTCTCAACGATAACACAAATCATTTATTTGATATGATGAATAAGCGAGAGAAAGTTTTTGATGCTATTTTAAACCTTTTAGAAGAAATTTTGATAGATAAAATGTCTTTAGTAGATGATTTATCCATATATAGAGACTATATTATTGATCTTATTGAAGAAATAGAAGCTAAATTGGGTACCGACACATGGAGAAAAGTAAGAAATGCCATTCGTAAGAAGAGAAATAACAATAGAACGGATTTTGAGGAAAAGGAATTAGAATTTATTTCAGAGCTGGAGAACAAATTAAAAGATGTTGAGATGACTGTTAATGAGTTCGAATTATTGATGGAAATTAATGCAACGGGTAATACCGAATTTCATAAAGGTAAACGACGAGTATTGAAAGAAGTTAAAAAACAACTCGAATCGTCTCTTCCCAACAACCTACAAGTTTTTAAAGTGCCACTAAGGAAGCTTCTTTATGCTCATGAAATTTGGAAACTGTCAAAGTAGATTATTATTACATAGTTTATTTGCAGTAATGTTTCAAAAATTTTTCATATCTTTAATTAATAGCTTTTTTTAATGTATTGGGTTAAAACTGATTATGTGGCGCAGGAATTAAGATGAATTTAATTATTACTATGACATCATAATACGTAATTGTTTAAATGATATTTAAAAAAGGAAAGGCGGCAAACTGCAAAAAAAAATGAATTATAATAAATATATGCATTTTTTACATACGAAGTTAAAATTAAGTTTTAATATCGCGGTTTAGTGCTATGGAAAAAAAAATAGAATGATTCGCATCTTCCGTGTCCGACCCGGATCAAAGAAATGACTTAACCTACGGGTCGTGTCATATGGTCACGGGTCATTATTTTTACTAATCAGAAATAATTGCGGTATAATTTTATTTAGTTTTCAGGATATTATTCCTAAAATATTTTGGAAAAGCCAACATCCATATATTTTAAAAATAATTGTCCATTTTTTCATAGGATTACGAATAATATTAAGTTTTCTGTGACACCGAAAAATTTCATGGAACAATCAGTAAAATCCAGACGATTTTTAAATTATAAATGTATATTTAAAAACAGTCTAAATTTCTTATGCATTACGAAATGTTTGTGAAAAGCGATAAAAAAAATAGTAAGGAATTTCTATTCTTTATCCGGTTAAAATTGTTCCGTAATACTAATTTCAAATTAAAAAAGGATCGGCTAATCACACCGGAAATCTGGTTGATATCCCATATCCTTTTTTTTTTTATTCGCCATTCTGATTTGTATCGGATCGTAAATCAGTTGTTTTTTGCGTCGGTGTCACGTGATAATAACAGAATATATCGAATAGTGTAATTTGCGAAATCTGCCAAATACCAATTAATAATTTCTGGCAAAATTGTCAGAAATTACCATTTAAGGATAACACTTTTTTGGATATATAATAATGTACATTTTTGGAAAATGTACGTTAATAATGTCACCTCTCAAGGATCCCCGTTACATGTCGTATTATGGATAGAATTTTCTTGTTTTAAAAATGGAACGAATGGAATTCAACCAATCAAAGAATATACATAAAAGTAAGCTACAAAGCTCCTGATGAAACTTTGATAAAATTTCACGTGATTTTTAGTTACGACTTTTTGGTGGCGCTAGGAATCATCGCATGATCGCATAATAAATAAACACGTAATCGTACGATACAATGAATGTTTCACAAACATTTATTCCCAGGAAAAAAAAATTTTTTTTTTTTCCTTCATTTTTCACCACCATGTCCAAGTTAAATAAAGATATTTTTTATTTAATATTTGAAGAATTACAAAATGATAATAAGGCCCTTTATTCATCACTTTTGGTCAATAAAACGTTGTGTGAAATAATTGTTCCAATTTTATGGAGAAATCCTTGGAAGTACTTAGCAAATGGAAACAAAAATTTATTACTTAACGTAATTATTTCACATTTATCAGACGAATCAAAAAATAATTTAAAAATTCAAGGCGTTAATTTACCTATAGTTTTATCTCAAAAACTTTTATTTAATTATATTAGTTTTTGTAGACATTTAAATTTATATGTGATTAATAGTATAATTAATAATAATTATTCGAAATATAAGAGTAAAATATCATTTATTAAAAAAGAAATATTTAATATTTTTATTAATAAAAATACAAAATTTACACATCTTTATTTACCCCAACGATTTGATTATCAAATACATCTTATACCTGGAGCCAAACAATGTCTTTCAAAAATTGTTTCCCTTAGTTGTTATACTAGAATAAATGATAAAGTTTTAATTGGATTAGCAGAAATATGTCAATCAATTAAAAAGTTGGAACTTTTTATCGAAGAAAAAGAAAATAATTATGGGATTACTAAATTAATTGATGCTTCTAAAACATTGATTGATGTTCGTTTGATAACAGATTATGGATTTTGTAATGATTTTATAATCAATTATTCATATACTTCAATTATTGATGTAGCATTTCATATAATTCTTGAAAATTCATTGATAAAACATGCACATACCTTACAATATATTAAAATGACTACACCACCTAAGACAAAAATTCTTTCTTTTTTAGTAAATTTAAAAAAATTGGAATTATATGTTAATAATCAAAATAATAATTCGAATAATTTAGGAAATATATTTTTACCTTCATTACAAATTCTAAAATCTAATGTTGTTAAAATCAATATTTTAAGAAATTTATTTGTAAATACAAATGGAAATCTTATTAAGATAGGTATTGATGATATACCTCATAATGAGATTGACAATAAGAATATTATTCAAGCTATTTATCAAAATTGTCCAAATCTTATGTATCTTAAATTGATGATTAGAAATGAAAGTATTTTAGAATTAGAACAATTATTAATTAATTGTCAGTATCTAGTTGGATTATATTTTTTCGCAATAAAAACTTTTGATTGGGATGAATTATTTAAAGTTTTAACTATATCATCACCAACTAGTTTAATTAAATTTAAATTTAATAATATTCTTTCATATGGGACAATTAAATTAGAATCCTTAAAATTATTTTTTGATAATTGGAAAGGTAGAAGTCCCATATCATTACAATTTGATTCATATAATGGATGTAGTGATTTAATTGATTTAATAGGAGAGTATAAATTGGAAGGAATTATTAATAAATTTGATCATTTGCATGGAAGTAATTATTTTGAAGATTTTGAATGGTAAAAGATTTATAATTAATTAAATCCATTTTATTATTATAATTAATGAAAACCAATTTTCAGAATTACTATACATATTATATATTATCATTTTTTTTTTTAGTTTGAAAAATAAATACGTAATAATCACATATATTTATATAAATAAAAATCATCTAAATAATTCAAAATAATCCTTGCACAAAAATTGTATCCTTCATCCTTATAAAAATTTTGATAAGTGAAAATTTAAATTCTATATTTTTTCTGTAAAATAACTTATTTATGAACTTGTAAACTGAAATATTCGGATAAATCTTTATATGGTCTGTTTCATATCATTTTCCCGGCAATTATTTTACCGACAAACGTTTCACTGACAATCATTTCACCGACAGGGATCATTTTACTAAGCCATTTTACCGATAGTCATTTCATCGACAGTTTCGAAATCCAAATTCGCTTATCCTAACCTTATCCTAACATAATCCCAACCATAAGGCCGCTCCAAATTAATTTTTAGTTTAATGTCCTTCCTCCCCCTTTATTTTTAAAAATTTCAAAGGTAATTTAAACACATATGTTTCACATATGTTTAAAGCACCTTCCCTCTTTTCTAAAATTGTATGGTACCAAATATTTCCGATTTTACCGAAAATTTCCGAAATTTTTAAAAATTTTTAATATGTTTAAATGTTCAAATTATTCCCTCCCCTAAATTTTTGAGACAGAAAGGACGTTAAACTAATATTTTCCTTATTTAATCCTAATTCTAAATTCTCCTATCGGTGAGATGATTGTCAACGAAACATTTGTCAATGAGATAATTGTCGGTAAATGATTATTAGAGAACCCTTATATGGCAGTATATATAAAATAATATCAAAGAATCTTATCTACTTTCATATATTAATACTCTATTATCAAAATGATCAGCATTATGTATTCGTGTACATATGGGATGATAAATAGAATTATTTATAAACTGAGAATAATGTAACAAATGAAAATCAACAAGTTAAAGAAGATACATAAAAGTAGACTATAAATACTATTTGTTATTTATTTATTTATTTTATGTGAAATAAATACTATTTGTGATACTAAATCAAACTGAAAATCGACCCCTTGACAAAATCGCGTGATTTTAGTGACGTCTTTTGTGTAGCGCTGGGAAATCATCGCATAACGCATAATAAATAAACACGTAAATCGTACAATGTTTCACAAACATATTATTATTTGCTCGAAAAAAAATTAAAATTTTTTTTTTTTTTTATTTTTTTCGTAAAAATGCCCAAGTTAAATAGAGATATTCTTTATTTGATATTCGAAAAATTTCAAAATGATGATAAGACCCTTTATCCATTTCTTTCGGTTAATAAAACATGGTGTGAAATAATTATTCCAATTTTATGGAGAAATCCTTGGAAATACTTAATAAACGGAAATGAAAACTTATTACTTAACGTAATTATTTCACATTTATCGGAAGAATCAATAAATAATTTAAAAATTCAAGGCATTGATTTATTTACAAGTTTACCTCAAAAACCTTTATTTAATTATATTTGCTTTTGTAAACATTTGGATTTAAGTGTGATTAGTACGATGGTTTATAGTCATTATTCATCGAAATATACAAATAATATACCAATTATTAGAAGTGAAATATTCAACCTTTTTATTAACGAAAATATAAAAGTTACACATCTTTATTTGCCTCGGTCTGATTATCAAATACATCTTGTTCCTGGAGCCAAACATTGTTTCTCAGAATTAACGTTCCTTAGATGTAATTCTAAATCAAACAACAATTTTTTAACTGGATTAGCAGAAATATGCCAATCAATTAAAGAATTGGAAATTACTATCGAAGCGAGAAATAACGGTTATGGTATTACTAAATTAATTGATTCCTCTAAAAAATTAATTAATGTTCGTCTAATAGTCAATCATATGATGTTTGGTTGTATTTTTCCAACCAGTAATTCAGATTTTCCAAATATTGATGATGAATTTCATATAAAACTTGAAAATTCATTGATGAAACATGCAAACACCATACAATACTTTAAGATAGCTATACCACCAGTAACAAGAATTCTTTCATCTTTGGTAAATTTAAGAGAATTAGAATTAAGTTTTTCAGTTCAAAGTATGAAATTAGATAATTTAGAAAATATATCTCTACCTAATTTACGATTTTTAAAATCCAATGTTTTTCAATTCAATATTTTAAGAAATTTAATTGTAAATACAAATAGAAGCCTTACTAAAATAAGTGTTAACATTGTGCCTCATAATGTAATTGACAACAATTGTATTATTCAGGCTATCTATCAAAATTGTCCAAATCTTATGTATCTTAAATTATTGTTTATGATGGGTAACATGTCAGAATTAGAACAACTATTAATTAATTGTCAGTATTTAAATGGGATCTACTTTCTTGTCTTGAATTTATTTGATTTGGATGAACTATTCGAAAAGTTGACTAAATTATCACCATATAATTTATTTAAGTTCAAGTTTAATATCATTTCTTGTGAACCAATTAAACTAGAATCTTTAAAATTATTTTTTGATAATTGGAAAAGTAGAAACCCTATGTTATTACAAATTGATAAAACTGGATGTGCTGATTTAATTGATTTTATTGAAGAATATAAATCAGAAGGAATTATTAAAAAATTTAATAAGTTAAATGAAAATAATTTTGAAGATTTTGAATGGTAAAAGTAAAATTTAAACTAATTAAATTTATTTATTAAATGTTATAATAGATTTTATGTAATACATTATATTTTCAGAATCATTTTTGTTGTTTTGTTTTTTTACAAATAAAGATACAATTGTTTAAAATATAGAACTCTATTTCCTTACTAAAATATTGTTTCATATTTACAGTATATTCCAAGTTTTTATTACAATCCTATCGGAATTTATAAACAGAACCCTATAAACAAGTGATGTCCAAAAACTGCGAGAATGTCCGGTACTATGTCTAGATAACGTATGGAAAATAAATAAACCAAAGTAAGATTCCGGATATTATCTAAATAATGACAATTTTCCGGACAACAGAAAATATACAGAAATATGAAAGATTCCATACATTATCAGCGAATACTTTATTTGCTGACGAAAATATCATGTGAATTTTTCGTGACATACATAATGACATAATGTGGTACGTAATCGTACAATGTATCACAAACATATTTATATAAGCATTTCTGAAAAAAAAAAATTTTTTTTTTTCTCACAAAAATGTCCGAGTTAAATAAAGATATTCTTTATCTGATATTTGAAGAATTGCAAGATGATATAAAGACACTTTATTCTTCTCTTTCGGTCAATAAAACATGGTGTGAATTAATCGTTCCAATTTTATGGAGAAATCCTTGGAAATTCTTAACGAATAGAAGTGAAATTTTATTATTTAACGTAATTATTTCACACTTATCGGACGAATCAAAAAATAATTTAATGATTCAAGATAATGATTTATTTAAAATTTTATTACAAAAACCTTTATTTAATTATATCAGTTTTTGTAGACATTTAAATTTAAATTCGATTGATTTGATAATTTATTTTATTGAACGTAATTACTCGAAATCAAATATTTCAGTTATTAAAAATGAAATATTAAATCTTTTCATTAATGAAAATACAAGATTTACACATCTTTATATACCTCAAAATTTTGATTATCAAATTTACCTTATTCCTGGAGCTAAACGCTGTTTTTCAGAAATTGTGTTCCTTAGTTGTAATACTAATAGAGTAAATGGCAATGTTTTAATTGGGTTAGCAGAAATATGCCAATCAATTAAAGAATTGGAACTTACTATTGAACCTAGCAACAACAGTTATGAGATTATTAAATTAATTGATGCCTCCAAAAAATTAATTAATGTTCGTTTAAAAATCATCGATACTGTAGTTATACTATGTACTAGTATTTATTATCCAATCTTAAATAATCTATATGATATTGAAGAATCATTTCATATAATTCTTGAAAATTCATTAATGAGACATGCACATACTATACAATACTTTAAGATAGAAGCACCGCCTGCTACAAAAATTCTTTCAACTTTGGTAAATTTAAAAAGATTAGAATTAAGTAAAATTAATCATAATATAAAGTTAAAGTTTAATGGCCTAGAAAATAATATATCCCTACCTTCGTTACAAATCTTAAAAACTGATATTTTTCAGATCAATATTTTAAGAAATTTAATTGTTAATACAAATGGAAGTCTTACTAAAATAAGTATTGATTATATTTTCCATAATAAGACTGATAATGAAAATATTATTAAAGCTATTAATCAAAGTTGTCCAAATCTTATGTTTCTTAAATTAGTGTTCAAAATTGAAAATATTTTAGAATTAGAAAAACTATTAATTAAATGTCAGTATTTAAATGGATTCTATTTTCATATCTTAAATTTATTAGATTTGGATAAACTATTCGAAGTGTTAACTAGATCGTCTCCAACTAGTTTATTTAAGTTTAAGTTTAATATTACTTCTCATGAACAAATTACTCTAGTATCTTTTAAATTATTAATTAATAATTGGAAAGGAAGACATCCCATGTTATTACAAATTTATCCATGTGAAAGTACTGATTATTTATTTGATTCAGAAATTGTTAAAAGATTTGATTATTTGCAGATTAATTCTGAAGATTTTGAATGGTAAAAGAGAAGTTTTATTAATAGATATAGTAAATAAGAGATATATTTAGATAATACAGTAATAATTATTTTATTCATACTATTTTTGCTTAATTAAAGGATATTTTTTTAAAATTCTTATATAAATAATCGTTTTTTGGAATTTTTTAAATAAATATAATAAATCTTTTTTTTTAAAAAAAATATTTGTAATAAACTAAGTTTATAGTTCATACCGTGTATTGACATATAAAATAGGGCTACGGTACATGATTTCACTGAAATCCATCTCATCGAAATCCATTTCTCCGAAGCCATCTCGTCGAAGGGATGTCTCACCAAAAGGACGTTTCGCCAAAATGGTAGCGATTAACATTTTTATAAAAATATTCATTGTGTAATTAAAAATAAAAATTAAATTATTTTTAGAGATTTTAAGTACTAAATGACATCAATTGTTAAGCGTTAAGCAATAAATAAATAACTGGAAACATTTATTCAGTCAGTAAAAAAAAAAGATTATCGCCATTTTCAAAATGATGTACGCAGTTAAATTTGAATAAAAAAAAAAGTAAACCGAAAACCGGACGAAAACCGGACGAAATATGGACAAAAAACGGATGAAAACCGGGCGAATATTGGCATTCGAATATACAATCATAAATAAACTGCGTACACTATTTTGAAAACGGCGACAATGTATTATAAATAACTAGATAAAGAAATATTTTCTAGAAAAATTTTTGAATTAGCTGATTTTTATTAAATTTATGTATTTAGTATAAAACCAATAAAATAGCCAAATGGAATAAATAATTTTTTGGTGAAATATCCGTTCGGCAAAATGTCCATTCGGCGAAATATCCATTTGATAAATGGCTTCGGCAAAATGGAATTCGGTGAAATGAGGTTTCGGTAAAATGGTATTTTGACGAAGCTTCCTTTCGGCGAAATGGGTTTTGGTGAAATGGACTTCGGCGGAAATTCTGGGTACCATAAATTAGTATGCATATAGTTAGGTCAAAGTATTTCGTGTAATTTTTAAAATTTTTACTTACTAAATTAATAAACTAGTAATACCATGTGACAGATTGGAGGAGCGTGACAGCCGTGACACGATGATGAAATATCTTGTGATATTCGTGCAAATGGACGTAATCGTACAATGTTACACGGACATATTTATATATTATTTCAATAAACAAAAAAAAAATTTTTTTCGCAAAGATGTCCAAGCTAAATAGAGATATTCTTTATCTAATATTTGAAGAATTACAAGATGATATAAGGACCCTTTATTCATCTCTATTGGTCAACAAAACATGGTGTGAAATAATCGTTCCAATTTTATGGAAAAATCCTTGGAAGTATTTGACGGATAAAAATGACTACTTACTAGTTGACGTAATTAATTCACACTTATCGGAAGAATCTAAAAATAATTTAATAATTCATGGTATTAATTTTTTTACAACTTTTTCTCAAAAACCCTTATTTAATTATTTCAGTTTTTGTAAACATTTAAATTTAAGTTCGATTGATAAGATAATTAATAGTACTTTTAAATTTTATTACTCTTACTCTGAATCGATTGTATCAATTATTAAAAATGAGATATACAATCTTTTTATCAATGAAAGTACAAAGTTAACACATCTTTATATACCTCAACATTTTGATTATCAAATTCATCTTATTCCTGGAGCTAAACACTGTTTTTCAGAAATTATGTTCCTTAGTTGTAATACTAGAGTAAATGACAGCGTATTAATGGGATTAGCAGGAATATGCCAATCAATTAAAGAATTGGAACTTTTTGTTGACCTGAGAAATAGTAGCAAAAACAGTTATGGGATTATTAAATTAATTGATGCTTCTAAAAAATTAATTGATGTTCGTCTATTAACCATTAATGCTATATTTTCATTATGTACTTATCCAATCTTAAATAATCTATATTATATTGAAGAATCATTTCATATAATTCTTGAAAATTCATTAATGAAACATGCACATACTATACAATACTTTAAGATAAATACACCACCTGCTACAAAAATTCTTTCAACTTTGGTAAATTTAAAAAGATTAGAATTAAATAAAATTAATCACAATATAAAGTTAAAATTTAATGGCCTAGAAAATAATATATCCCTACCTTCGTTACAAATCTTAAAAACTGATATTTTTCAGATCAATACTTTAAGAAATTTAATTGTTAATACAAATGGAAATCTTACTAAAATAAGTATTGATTATATTTTCCATAGTGAGACTGATAATGAAAATATTATTAAAGCTATTTATCAAAGTTGTCCAAATCTTATGTTTCTTAAATTAGTGTTTAGAATCGAAAATATTTTAGAATTAGAAAAACTTTTAATTAAATGTCAGTATTTAAATGGATTCTATTTTAAAATCTTAAATTTATTAGATTTGGATAAATTATTCGAAATGTTAACTAGATCATCACCAACTAGTTTATTTAAGTTTAAGTTTAATATTATTTCTCGTGAACAAATTACTCCAGAAATTTTTAAATTATTTATTAATAATTGGAAAGGAAGACATCCCATGTTATTACAAATTACTCCATATGAATATACTGATTTATTTGATCCAGAAATTATTAAAAGTTTTGATCATTTGCGGATTAATTCTGAAGATTTTGAATGGTAAAAGAGAAATTTTATTAATAGGCATAGTAAATAAGAGATATATTTAGATTATGCAATAGTCATTTTGTTCACGCTTTTTTTGTTTAAAATAAAGGGCAATTTTTAAATTCTTATATAAATAATTGTTTTTATAATAAATAGTTTATTACAAATATTTCTATTTAAAAAATTCCGAAAGTATGACATAAGTTCATGGTTCATACCGTATATTGTTATATACTACTAAAATAGTTAAATTCGTCCGATTGTACAATAGTTCGTGCATTTTACATTTATAAATTTACAATTTTATTTAATAAAGAAATACATTTATCAATTTTTTTTTTAAAAAAAATAAGCGTCCTTATCCTAGACCCCTGGTTCAGGTTTCTTATTCTAGACCCATAACATTTATCTGTTATCTAAATTTTTCACGATGTAACAACCATAACATTCATCTTAAAAAAAATTTCATAAATTTTTTTTATAATATATACATTAATACGCTCGTAACATTTTTATCTTAGAAAACTTTCATAAATTTTTTTTATAATACATTATACGCTACTATGCGTGTAACATTTATAGAAATTTTTCAAGATTTTTTAAATTAATTTTTTTATTTCACAACGAGACACGAAATATAAGCATTTTTCTTGGAACATTTTATGACAAAAAATTAAACTAAACCAAATATTAGAAATGTTTATCAAATATTTGACAACTGGGCAAAGAATTATCTATTATATTATTATTTATTCTCTCCTTACAAAATAACCTTGTATTAAAAAAAATACCATTATTAAAATGAAAATACTTCACAAATTTCCATTGAAATTTTGTAAATATGAGTATTCAAACAATTTTATTTTTCAACATATCAACCAAAGCCAAATTAATTTAATCAGAATGCTAAAATTATACCATGAAAATCTACAAAAAGCACGTACATGTTAGTAAAGTCACAAACTTTAGTTGAAAGAAGTTTCAAACAATACATAATAATTTAATCCAAAACTCAAAGAAACCAGAATAAACTTACCTATTGCAAGTGTTAAAGTGTAATTATTAGATAAAGAACATTTTGATTTATTAGATTTAAAATTTTTGATAAAAAAGATTTTTTTATTGTTCTAATATACATTATTATGAAAATAATGGTAATAAACAAATATTAATATAAGAAAAAGAAAAATAATTTGTGTAAAAAAAATAATATAAAAGAAAAAAACCAAATGAAAGAGCAGTGTAAGAAAGAGAGTGAGCGTAGCGTTTATTTCGTGTGAAAAAAAAAATGGTGGTATAAAATAAACAAATGAGGCTGATAATGATCAGCTGTGCCACAAGGTCTAGTCTGGACCCCAGGTCTAGGATAAGAAGCCTAAACCCCAGGTCTAGGTTAAGTTTTCTCAAAAAAAAAATTAATAAACCATTATCATGTGACATAAGAGAGGAAGGTGACAGCCGTGACACTGTGATTGAAATATCATGTGATTTTAGTGCAAATACGTACGTAATCGTACAATGTTACACGGACACATTTATTTAATATAAACGATCATTTCAATAACAAAAAAAAAAATTCTCACAAAGATGTCCAAGCTAAATAAAGATATTCTTTATCTGATATTTGAAGAACTACAAGATGATACAAAGACACTTTATTCATCTCTTTCGGTCAATAAAACATGGTGTGAATTAATCGTTCCAATTTTATGGAGAAATCCTTGGAAATTCTTAACGAATAGAAGTGAAATCTTATTAATTAACGTAATTATTTCACACTTATCGGACGAATCAAAAAATAATTTATTTATTCAAGATAATGATTTATTTAAAGTTTTATTTCAAAAACTTTTATTTAATTATATCAGTTTTTGTAGACATTTAAATTTAAGTTCGATTAGTTGGATAATTTATTTTATTGAACTTAATTACTCAAAATCAAATATTTCAGTTATTAAAAGTGAAATATTAAATCTTTTCATTAATGAAAATACAAGATTTACACATCTTTATATACCACAACGTTTTGATTATCAAATTCACCTTATTCCTGGAGCTAAACACTGTTTTTCAGAAATTGTGTTCCTTAGTTGTAATACTAATAGAGTAAGTGGCAACGTTTTAATTGGGTTAGCAGAAATATGCCAATCAATTAAAGAATTGGAACTTTCTATCGAATCTAGGAACAACAATTATGAGATTATTAAATTAATTGATGCCTCAAAAAAATTAATTAATGTTCGTTTAAAAACCTCCGGTACTGGAATTGTACTATGTACTTATCCAATCAGAAGTAGTCTATATTATATTGAAGAATCATTTCATATAATTCTTGAAAATTCATTAATGAGACATGCTCATACTATACAATACTTTAATATAGACACACCACCTGCAACGGGAATTCTTTCATCTTTGGTAAATTTAAAAAGATTGGAATTATATACTATTAATCGCAATATAAAGTTAAAATTTAATAGCTTAGAAGATAATACTATATCCCTACCTTCATTGCAAATTTTAAAAACTGATATTTCTCAGACCAGTACTTTAAGAAATTTAATTGTTAATACAAATGGAAATCTTACTAAAATAAGTATTGATAATATTTTTCGTAGTAAAACTGATAATGAAAATATTATTAAAGCTATTTATCAAAATTGTCCAAATCTTATGTTTCTTAAATTAGTGTTTATAATTGAAAATATTTTAGAATTAGAAAAACTATTAATTAAATGTCAATGTTTAAATGGACTCTATTTTCATATTTTAAATTTAATTGGTCTGGATAAACTATTCGAAATGTTAACTAGATCATCACCAACCAGTTTATTTAAGTTTAAGTTTGATATTATTTCTCGTGAGCTGATTACTCCAGAGTCTTTTAAATTATTTATTAATAATTGGAAAGGAAGACATCCCATGTTATTACAAATTTCTCCATATGGATGTACTGATTTAATCGATTCAGAAGTTATTAAAAGATTTGATTATTTGCGGAGTAATTGGAGTTATTCTGAAGATTTTGAATGGTAAAAGAGAAGTTTTATTAATATATATAGTAAATTAGAGATGTATTTAGTAATTATTTTATTCATACTTTTTATGCTTAAATTAAAGGATAATTTTTTAAATTCTTATATAAATAACATAAATGTATCAATAATTTCGGAATTTTTTAAATAAATATTTGTAATAAACTAAGTTCATAGTTCATACCGTGTATTAATATATAAAATAAGGTTACGGTACATTTCACTAAAGTCCTTCTCATCAAAATCCATTTCTCCGAAGCCAATTCACCGAAACCCGAAGTGATTTTTAACCGAAGGGATGTTTTCTGAAAGGACATTTCGCTGAGATTAACATTTTTATAAAAATTATTCATTGCGGAATGAAAATAAAAATTAAATTATTTTTAGGGTTTTTTTTTCCAGGATATTATTACTTTAACATTCAAGTAACTAATATCAATTGTTAAGCAATAATAAAACATTTATTCAGCAGTCAGTAAAAAAAAGATTAATGTATTATAAACAACAAGACAAATTTAATAAAATCAGCTAATTCAAAAATTTATCTAGAAAATATTTCTTTATGTATGTAGTATAAAAACAATAAAATAATCAAATGGAATGAGCGAAATCATCAGGAAATTTTTAGGTAGATCGATCCACCAAAAACCACGTAGGTTAGTTTGGAAACACGTGGAATTCTACACATCGAATTGTGTGGACAAGTATCCGCATAAAAAACCACACACTTCGAATAGGAATATGTGGATTTCCGAGATTTTTGTGTATCGCAAAATTTCATTGGAAATCCGTAGAATTCTTTAGCGGAATACGTGGGATTCTTACGCAGATATTACTGCGGAGTTCAAGAAATTACTAATAGCACAGTATAACAGTGCTAGTTAAAAAAAATACTAATATAAATTAAATATATAAAATATAGAACGAACATTTGTTGCCTTTTTATTATATAATAAATTCTTTTTTTGCGGCTCAAGAATAAATATAAAATATAATCTAGGTAATTATTAAAAAAAATTAAAATTAAATAGTAATCGTGAGATACGAGTATAAGTTGAGGTATTTGTTCGTGAATTAAATAATAAATATAATTAAATTAATATATAATTTAATTAAAATATTTTTACAAATCACCCGATATTAATCCACGTGTGACGACCGTGAATCCACTCCACATATTTCGTCACAGGGTATTCGGAAATATTAACTACCCCAAGAACACCACCAAAAAATTTTCGGTAACGTGACTTGATGAGTTTTATTGATTAGATTTATTTTGTACAACATTATCTTAGAAAAATTTTCGCGGCTTTTTTTCAAGAAAAAAAAATAAAGTGAGGGAACATTTATCTTAAAAATGTAGATTTTATAAAAAAAAAAAAAAAATTTAGAAATGTTTAATTTAAACATTTCTTATCAGTTATAGTCCTTTTCACTTTATAAAATTTACTGTTGGTCTTTTTTAATTAAAATAAGTGAATAAATTATTTATTATTTTAGAAATTTAACAATAAATCTTCGTGTTATTTACTGTATATAAATTTAATAATAGTAATAAAAAGATAATTTTTATAATGTATTAAATGGAAAGTCTTATTATTATTCAAAACTTGATAGTTTACCTTTAAAAGCCCAAGGTTGTAAATAAATTTTGTATTTAATATAAAAAACGCGTTTTTACTTTTACAACGAAATAAAATACAATAAAATTAAGAAAATAGAATAAAGTAAACTATAATAAAAAAGAATAATATATATTTCAAGGGAAAAAACACGCAAATACAAAACAGTTGGGGCGAGAAGTAAGAACTGTGAAAAATATTACTTTTTCATCGATATCTACTATTTTTAGATTAGTAGTACAAAGTCACGTTACCAAAAATTTTTTGGTGGGGTAGTTGAAAAAATTGGATCCATTTGGAATTTCCATGATGGTTCCATGTAGAATTCTCTGCAGATTTTAAACGGCTGAAACTTCATTTCACTGAATTCCATTTCGCTGAAGCCATTTTATCAAATGGATATCATCAGGAAGTTTCGGTGAAATGGTATTTTGGCAAAACGTCCTTTCGGTGAAATATCCCTTCGGCGAAATGGGTTTTGGTGAAATGGACTTCAGCGGAAAATCTGGATATCATAAAATAGTATGCATATGGTTAGATACGTCTAATTACACATATGTCAAAGTATTTCTGTAATAGTTCGTGTAGTTTTATAATTTTTAATTATATTTAATAAATAAATTAATAATCTAATATCATGTGGCAAATGAGAAGAGCGTGACAGCCGTGACACGATGAGAAGACATCCCATGTTATTACAAATAAGTCCATATAGATTTGCTGATTTAATAATTGATTCAATTGAAGAATACAAGTTAGTAAAATTTATTAAAAGTATTGATTATTATTCTGAATATTTTGAATGGTAAAAGAGAAGTTTTATTAATATTTATAATGAATAAGAAATATAATTAAATAACTGATAATACAATAGAAATAAAGGTATAATTTTTTATGATAATTGTAAAATTCTAATGATAATTGTTCTTCATCATCAATATACCATATTTCGGAATTTATAAACAGAAAATTTTAATACTATCATGTCAGTAGAAAAGTTCATACCGTATATTGAAATATAGAATACTATACAATACTTTATGATTACTACACCGCCTGCCACAAGAATTCTTTCATCTTTGGTAAAATTAAAAAAATTGGGAATTAATAGTTGATGATCGCAATGAAAAGTTGAATTCCTTACAAAATATTTCTTTTTCTTTGTTATAAAATTTAAAATCCAATCTTTTTCGAATGAAATCTTTAAGAAATTTAATTATTAGTATAAATGGAAGTCGTAACAAATTAAGCATTGAAAATATGATACATAATGAGATTGAAAATAAAATTATTATTAAGGCTATTTATCAAAATTGCTCAAATCTTATTTACCTTAAATTATTGCTTATAAGTGAAAATATTTTAGAATTAGAGCAATTATTAATTAATTGTCAATATTTAATTGGATTATATTTTATTAACAAAAACATATTTGATTGGGATAAATTATTCGAAATATTATTTAAATATAAGTTTAATAAATCAATTAAACTAATTAAACTGGAATCCTTAATATTATTTATTAATAATTGGAAAGGAAGACATCTCATGTTATTACAACTTGATTTACATGCATCTACTGATTTATTTGATTTGATAGAAGAATATAAATCAGAAGGAATTATTAAGAAATTTTATTATTTACATAGTGAATTTAAAGATTTTGAATGGTGAATTTATTAAATTAAATTTTTTATTGTATGTTGTAGACTTATAGTTTTATTATATTTATGTATAATCATTAAAAGATAATATCAATTTTCATTTTTTTTTTAATTTAAAATAAAGGGTTTTTTTCATAAAGAGATTTCTAAATTAATCTTTGTATAAAATAATTTAGTACATATGTCTTGAGTTTCCATGTCATTTTATTAAATATACAGTATGATATTAAATGAAAACATTGGCATATGACCTAGATCATGTCTACAGAAAATTTTTTTTGGTAATATAAATATTATATTATTTCATATATCAGAGAGCAAATAATTAAGATCTATAATAAATTTTCTGAATACGGCAATAAATATAATCATGATGTGACAAATAATATGTGAAGAATATATTTTCATTACTAACGGAGGGGTGTGACAGGTGATAAAAATATCGTATGATTTTCGAGATCGCATTATATAATGGGATCATCCGCAGATCCGCTCACCTTACATCAATCTTACATCAGTCTTACATTGCAAATGAAAAAAGAAAAGTCTTACATCAATAAATGAAAAAGAAAATTTTTCTTACCAAAAAAATGAACAAGTTAAATAGAGATATTCTTTATTTGATATTCAAAGAATTGCGAGACAATAAAAAGTCACTTTGTTCATGTCTTCCAGTTAATAAAGAATTTTGTGAAATAGTTATCCAAATATTATGGAAAAACCCTTGGAAATACTTAGAATATGAAAGGGAGAGCCTATTGTTAAATACAATTATTTCACATTTATCAAAAGAATCAAGAAATAACTTAAAGAGTCATGATATTTATCCTCTAATAACCTTATATGAAAATCTTTCATTCAATTATATCGGCTTTTGTAAATACTTAAATTTGAGTATAATTAATAAGATAATTTATTTATTTAAATTTCATGAAATTTCAATTATTCAAAATGAAATAATCAAACTTTTTATCAATGAAAATACAAAATTCACACACCTTTATGTACCTCAAGAATTCAATTATCAAATAAATCTTATTCCTGGAGCAAAGCAATGTTTTTCTGACATCATATTTCTTAGCTGTAATGTTGATATGAACGATAACGTTTTAACTGGATTAACAGAAATATGCGAATCAATTAAAGAATTGGAACTTTATATTAAAGAGAAAAACAATAATTTTGGTGTTATTAAATTAATTGATATCCCTAAAAAATTAATTAATGTTCATATTCATAATTCATACTCTAATAATCCAAATATTAATAATAATTCATTTAATAAAATTCTTGAAAATTCATTGATGAAACACGCACAAATCATACAACATTTTAAGATAAATGCACCACCTATTACAAAAATCCTTACAACTTTTGTAAATTTAAAAGAACTAGAATTGGATGGTAGTTATCATTATCCATGGAATTGCTTAGAGAACTTATCTTTACCTTTATTACAAACTTTAAAAACTAGAGCTATTCCAGTCGAAATATTAGCAAGTTTAATTGAAAATACAAGTGGATATCTTACCAAAATAAGTATTGATTGCATATTATATGAAGAGGTTATTAATAAAAAAATTATTCAGGCCATTTATCAAAAATGTCCAAAACTTAAATATCTTAAATTAATCCTTATAAATGAAAATATCTCAGAATTTGAAAATATATTAATTAAGTGTCAATATTTAGATGAATTGTTTATTTCAGTTGATAATTTGTTTGATCCAAGAGAATTATTTGAAATATTAATTAGATCATCACCAATTAGTTTGTTTAAGTTTAAATTTAATAATTTATTTATACCAAATAAATTAGAATCCTTAAAACGATTTCTTGATAATTGGAAAGGTAGACATCCCATGTTTTTGCAATTTAATTATAGGGATATAAGGGAATATTCCGCTGATATAGTGAGTTTAATGAAGAAATATAAAGCAAAAGGAATTATTAAAGAATTTGATATGCATTTTGAATAAGTTCAATTAACTATATTTATTTTTATTACATAACTAGAGGATTCTGATGTGCGGCGACTTTGTCGCCGCTAGTAGTAATTAATATAATATTATTTTTTGTTTTGTATTATCTAAATTTATGGATAATAAGATTATGATGTGATGGCGTATTCTTTTTTGTTTATTAACTATTTACCTAAAACTTGTGATATTATAATTGATTACTAATATTAAAGTAAATATAGTAGATAATTGATTTATGATATGTTTTTCTATTTATGAGTAATAAAAAAATGTGTAAGTTGATTTTTTTAGAAATTGTTAAAGTTATGTTCTTAGATATAAAAACTTCTTAAATATGAATTAAAAACTCTTTCCATTCTAATAAATTAGTACAAGCATAAAATGAAAAATAACTTATGTGATACCTCATTGCCTTACAATCATGTGCAATAATAGCACGTTACTTTGTTTTGTAGTTTATTTCGTTGAAAATTATATACAGTCAGATCACCACTTTCGGCAAGCCAAAAATTGGTGATAATAGATAGGTGTGATTACATAGTGAACCACATATTACATATATATTCACAATATATAAAAGTTTGATTACAAAAAATTTTAAAGATTAAAGTGATAGTTCAGGCCAGATCTTAATAATCCTGACCAGTATTACATGGAATTTTCAAAAAAAAAAAACATTTGCTGGCTAGACTTAAATTATAATTCTAGCCGGCACTACATTTTGGCTCAAATTTGACTTATTATATAATAATTGTCATGTGACATATTTTACAATAACTTAAACATAAATTTTCTTTTATACCGGTGATAGTGATTAGCATATGATTGTGATGTATTTTGGCTTTATAATTTCGGGACATTGAAATTTGTAAACAGGATGTGATTATATATGGGGTGATTATAGACAGGTCTGACTGTATTTATCATACTATGTTACATACGATAAATCTGTTTTGTAATATGTTTATGCAACTGTTTTTGTAATTGGTATTCTTTATTGACACTCATCAATAAATAAAAAAATAAAATAAAAATTTTTTCTTTTCTAACGAAATAAAAAAAAAGAAAAAAATACTTTGTTCTCTACTTTTAATTTGATAAAAAATTTCTCCAAATGTGTGTCAGAATATAAAGAAAAGGTCTCCTTGATAATTATACGTTTAGAACGAATAGCTCTAATCTCTTACAAATGCAAAATTAGAATTAGAAAATATGAAGTTATGTGAAAATTAATATTTTTTTTGTTCTTTGATTTAATTAACAGTCGGTAAATAATGTTTTGTTAAATATCTGTCTCTTATACACATCTAGATGTGTATAAGAGACAAAGAGCAAAGCTTGGATCCAGCTGAGATAAATGTTTTGATCACGCCTACCGAATCTTTTAAAAAAAAAAAAAAAAATCAGATCCAGAATTAATTATCAAATTCATCTTAACTAGAATGTCTGGTAAATGGTTTAGAATGAAAAAAGAAATATTTTCTTATCGTAGCATAAGCCGTCATGTGATTTCGATCACCTGAAAAAAATGCGCAGTTCGATATTGTTGCCGAAAAGAATAGATGTGTAACGTAAGTTTTCTGCATTTTACCGGCAAGTAAAGATGTGTATATATATTTTTTTGTTATGGGTATGATAACTGACAGACGTTACGTTGCTAGTAGATTTGACTTATAGCGTAATGACATATAATAAAAAGTCTTTTCAGATAATAAATGAGAGACATGATATTTAAGAGTAATTTCCTAAATCTTTCTTTTCAGAGGTCGGATGAGGTATGACAAAAGATTAGGAGGAGGAGCATAAATCGGTCAAAATGATTGATGGGACCTTTAGATTTATTAACCGGTTACTCACAAATGGAACGAATACGTTAATATAAACGGAACTACTAAAGGTGGAACTTTCATTTCCGACCGTCTATAAAACATACTCCTGATTATCATCAATATGATTAATATGATTTATACATGATCAATAATACTTTATCTATTATATTCATTTTTCTTTTTTTGTACCTACATTATGTTTAATAATCAGCACAAAATTGGCTTCATAAATTGATGATCAACAGGCTGCAAAACTCCTTTGTGTTCTTTGTTTCACAAATAAATGAATATGATGTGATACGTGAAACAGGGATATTATACATATTACACAAATAAATAAAAAAAAAATAATATTAAATACAGATATTCTTTATTTGATATCAAAAGAATTACAAAATGATAAAAAGACACTTTTTTCACTTCTTTTAGTTAATAGAAATTTTTGTGAAATAATTGTTCCAATATTATGGAAAAATCCTTGGAAACCTTTAAATTATCCATATAAAATAGATAAATTATTAATAAAAGTAATTTTTTCACATTTATCAGAAGAATCAAGAAATAAATTAAAAAATCTTGATTTACCAATAAATTCATATAAAAAACCTTTTTTTAATTATATTAATTTTTGTAAACATTTAGATTTAAATAATTTAAATGCAATTGATAGAATAATTTATACTATTGATGAAAATTTCAAAATTAAATTTGAAATTTATGATCTTTTTATTAATGAAAATACAAAATTTACACACCTTTATATACCTCAACAATCTGGAATTCCAATACATCTTTTTCCTGAAGCAAAAAGATGTTTTTCAGAAATAAAATTTCTTAGTTGTAGTACTGTAATAAATAGTAATATTTTAGTTTGGTTAACAGAAACATGTAAGTCAATTAATGAATTAGAAATTATTGTTGAAGAACATAACAATAATTATATTCATATTACTAAATTAATTGATTCCCTTAAAAATTTAGTTAACGTCTATTTTTTGAAAAATTATCCAAAATATCCCACTTTTCCTAATTATCACAATTTTCCTAATTATTCTAATTATCCCAATTTTTCAAATTATTCCAATTATCCAAATTATTCCAATTATCTTAATTATTCCAATTATCCTAGTTATTCTTACTATCCCACTTATTCCACTTATATCAATTATTCTAATTATTCTAATTATTCTAATTATTCCAATCATTTAAAATATAATGATGGAATCTATAGAATTCTTGAAAATTCGTTAGCCAAACATGCAAGTACTATACAATATATTAAATTAACCAAACCACCTATCACAAGATTTCTTTCATTTTTTGTAAACTTAAAAAAATTAGAATTAGTTGATGAAACAGAAACTCATACCATGAAATGGGATTGTTTACAAAATTTTTCTTTACCTCATTTACAAATTATAGAAGTTAGTAATATTCCAATCAATGTTCTAATAAGTTTAATTGAAAATGCAAGTGAATCCCTTATTGAAATAAAGACTGATTGCGTAAGTCATGATGTGATTAATAATAGAAGAATTATTCGGGTTATCTATAACAAATGTCCAAACTTGAAATATCTTAAATTATTGTTTAGAAATCACAATATTTTAGAATTAAAGAAATTATTAATTAATTGTCAATATTTAAGAGGATTATATATTCTTGTTGATTTAAATGAAGATTTTTATTGGGAGAATGTATTCTTAATATTAGCTGAATCATCACCAAATAATTTGTTTAGGTTTAAATTTAATATTTCTCAAATATTAAATGAATTAGAATTAACGCAAATATTTTTTGATAAATGGAAAGATAGAGCTCCTATGTTATTACAATTCAAAGATTGTTATAACAATTCTTTGGAAGATTTTAAATGGATTTAAAAAAATTGATTATTTTGTTTTTTTTTTGTATTATTTGAGGTTTTTTTTTTTGACATATATAATAGTAACTTAACGAAAATAAATAATATGGCGAGATTTTGTTAATATTTAGTGTTCGAAACCACAAATTTGTAATGTGAAATTATTATTTTTTTTTTTTTACCTTACATAGTATGTACATTTTTGTTATAGATAATGACTTCACATTCTTTCTATTTTTCTTTCTCGTTAATTTGTATTTTCCATCATTGTCATAATTGTGTTCTTTCAATAAAGTACTATTTAAATATATTTCATGTAATACTACGTACGATAAATTCTGAAATTCCACGAGAAAATCTAGAATACTTCCGTACATAATAATGTAGCATTCAGACACATAGATTGTGCTCAGATTTTTCAAATTCATTATCATTATTGATATTTGTAGTACTAGTTATAATAAAACGGAACTTGTAAATGCAGCTGATGAAAATTCTTTTGACCCAACGCCATAAATCCTATGCCAATTAAATTTATCTTTATTAGTATGATTCAAATTATATTGCGTAGAAAACTATATTGAAATGCTTTTTAGAAAGATAAAATATATTGCGTAAAATGTTTATCGAGCTATATTGTTGATATAACTGATAATGATGTATTGTATACCCGGATATATATTTATACAATGAACTTGGAATGTAGTGAACATATAAATTTAATTAAGAATTCGCGTGATATTTTCTTAAGAATAAACAACAAATTCATTATAATAAAAGTATTATCGTTATAATCATATATAATATGGAAAGTTATAACTAAAAATTACGATTAATTATTTCAATTTTTAACAGACCCTTTATTTTTTTGTAACTTTTACATACATTGCAGTAGTTCAGTTTTCTTTACATAACGTTGAAACTTATATTATTAAGTTCAATAATTAATGCTTTAATGCGTGTCATTATTAATTTTTCTTTTAATTTACAGATTCATCAATTTTTATTAACAACTTTTTTTAACTTCAACGATAAATTATCGGCGTTAATTTCATATATATAAACCTGGATAAAAAATTATGAATTTGTCTAATTTAACGAAATTATTTCTGTATTAAATATATTGAATAACAAGTAATATTTAGTTAATGGAGGTGACAAATTATGAAGCTGTCTATATCAGCATACCAAAACTTTACATAGGTTTTGATTTGCTTAAGCCAATACTTCACAAATATATAGATAATACATACCTCTTTACTCAATATATGAGGCGACAAAATTCAATTAGGAATTGAAAAAATCATCAGGACCGGAAGAAGCAGAGTTTGACAACGTTGACATTTTAGTCATTTTATGATGTTATCACGATCTTGTCATTCCAAAAAAAAACAAAGATCGTTCGTCAGACACACCAACCCATTAACCATACTAATCACACCACCACCACTTCAACCCATAAACATACCAACCACACCACCACACCAACCACTCCAACTCATATCGCCAACCTTTTGAAAAATCTCTGACGCCCAAAGAAATGTTCGTAATTATTTAATATTCTTTTCGTTTCCATCGAAAGGAAATAGCGATTTTCTCATCCTAAATTGCAAATACTTGAAAATATTTCTTTCAATTTCTGATCAATTGTTGATTGCAGATTTTTGGATGAAGAAACAGTCTATTTTTATATCTGTAACTTTCTTATTCAATAAAATATTGTTACGTTATCGTTATACGCACACATTTAAAAGAAAATTTTACGATTTAGTACGTTATAAACAATTAAAACACATATTTATTAATGCTTGCTCTTGTTCAGCAGATATAGTTAACCCATAAACTGTTTCTACTGAACACTTCGTAGAGGTGGCAAGCTTCGTTCAGGCTTACCTGTTACAACCAGTTTACAATTCAAGGACAGTGACATATATTAATTAATAATACTTTAGAAGAAAATGATTGATTATATTAGACACGATCACAAATATCTTACCTGGGTACACTTAACAAAATAATATTAACTAATATATGTCACTGCCCTTAGTGAACAAGCTACAAAATATCAAAAAATAAAAATAATATTGGGTCTAATAAGAAAAAATTGAGTAGAGGTTTTCTTATCTGTGCCTCTTCTGTTACTGACTTATTTCTTTTATGTCGAATTATTAAAATTACAACTAGAAAACGGTTGAAAAACTAAAATTTGCGATTTCATTGGGAGACGATCACGTGGCGGACAGAGAAATTCACGTGATGATTTTTTTTCATAGTGCGTGGACATATATTGTCCTTCGCTTCTCTCCGGACAATAATTAATCGTGTGATTAGTAATTATCAGTGGCGTAAAACCGTATTACGCATAATTTCAGCTAAATTGAAATCAAAAATAAGTTCATCAACATAATTACTCATAAGTTAACCACTATAATAATTTGTAATAACTAATATTAAAATTAATAAAAAAATAATTTTTATATTCTGCATATGAAGAATACGATAGAACTAGGAGCGCTCTATCTCAAGCATGGTAAAACAATATGTATGACAGGCTTCTACGTGGTTTAACAAAAAAAAAAAAAAAAAAAAAAAGATCATAAATTTGACGTTACGAAAATCAAGAAATTTACTTTTCTTAGCTTTATTAAAAGTAAATAGTAAGCGTATATTGCGTATATCTATTTATATTTATTTATTATTTCAAAATAAATTTGTTGAATTATAAGTCATAAAATTTTTACTAAAAATATCTTTTTTAATTTGAATTCGGTCAAGATAACGTAACGCTGAATAAAACTTCGATGGTACTTCTGAATATTTTGTACCATTGACCGTAAAAGCAAAAATTCATTCATTCATATCTATCTATATGTATTCAATTATTGCACCATGAATGGTGGGCAATAACTTAAACCCAAGAAGAACTATAATCTTTCTCAATAATAACAACTCATTCAAAAATGCCTTTATTTTCAAGTACCATTATTTTGCCCGCGTACATAAGGACAGTTTGTGGTACGTACAACTTTTCCATTACCCCCAATAATAAGTTTAGATTTACGTGTTGATTCAATTAATATTCGAACCTTAATTTAATTGAAGTCAAAAAATTTAATCAATCAATGAAAATTGATCTTTGCTTTGTTTTAAATTGATTGGCAAAGAGAAAATTTTGGCCAGACGGGTTGATGGTTTTTCGATATTCATTCAACCATCCGGCCAAAAATGACTTTTTTTTTTAATAAAAAACAATTAATAATTTTATTTAATTTTTTTTTTCTTTTAATAAAAGCGATTAATAATTTATTTATTTATAAAATAAAAAATATATTTTTTTTAATAACGGGTGAATTAATTAAAGAAAAAAAATTGAAATTGAAAAATTTCGGCCAGACTGATTGACCACGTTTACGGTTGATCAGATGATCAGACTGTTCAAATATGGGTTTGTATGCCGAAAGATCATCTTAGAATCTATAAAGTTTCTCTCCTTAAACTCCTTCCTCATTCTTAACTCTTTGTGTCATAAATATTTATTTATTTTTATATTTTAAATTGTCATAAATATTTATTATTTTTATATTTTGAAATAACAATATGCTTTTTTTTAAAAAAACCCCCCGGTAATTATTAAGTAAACAATAATACTTTTATAATATATTCGCTTCTTTCGTAACTTTGAAAATGGAGCGAAAAATTATTAAGAACATTATATTGGCTTGGGTATCTTATCCAGTCGTATCAGTAATAGTTTGTATGTTTTCAAAACTCACTTTATTATCAATAATATTATTTTGATTTTTTTTTCAAAAAAGAAAAAATTTTTTTTTGCGAATTTTTTCTTTTAAAAGTCTTTCCTTACCAGACTTTTTATCTATTGTATGGTATTGTATCATCTTATTCATCTTTCGGACAATAAATCGTTAATGATCAAATATTAAATTTGTTGACTTGATGATTAACAATCTTTTTTCTATTTAGCTCAAACCGATGCTCTTTAATCAAAACCAAAAGTTCCTTTAAATCCGATACGAGTGTATAAGGTATCTTTTTACCTTCTCACTTGTATGTACAAAAATTTGACAGGTCTCTTCAATAATAATTGAATAAAAAATTCTTAGTAAGTAAAATTTAATATAACTTCTCCTTAAGTATTGGTACCATATAAGACCCAATATATCGATATAACTATAGTTGAGATTTTTCCGAATGATAAAATTTTCTAAAAAAGAAGAAGAGAATTTTTAAAAAGGAAAGAAAAAGAAAAAAAAATCGATAAATATTACTCAAAAAAAAGATATTTTTCGACGAAATTTTGCTTTCTTTTTTAGGGTTCTTTCGGCTTTAATTAATTCAGCGATGAATTTCTCATGGATGCAGTTATTTGATCTCATTGGAAATAAGTTTTTGGTAAGTTTCTTTTTTTGCAATTTTTTTTTTCCTCTATTTTTCCCTTTATATTTTCTTAACGAACTTTATTAATTGTTCATTATTTTCTTTCTTTTTAGGCGGGTTTTCGGTCTCCTTGGACATATAGCTTCGGAAGTTGACTTCCTGGATTTTCGGCTGATATTGAACGGCACTTGTGCTTTCTCTTGTAGATCAGAGTCATGGAATGAATCAGTAAGTTTCAGAGCATTTCATTTTACTCAGTTATTTTTTTTTAAATTTATTTTGTTTTTTTTCTAAAAAAAAAATTGATTTTTTTTTGTAGGTATCGGTAGAGTGAGTTTCTCGGGTCCTGAATGATAGGATCGTTTAGAAACCTTCTTCTAAGTTTTTTTTTAAAAAATTTTTGTTTTGGAGAAACTATTTATTTCTCCTTTTATCAACTTTGTAGGCTTCGTCTTCGATGATCGGGTTTGCTCCTTGGGTAAGTTTCGAATTGAAAAAAAGAATTTTTTTTTAAAAAAACATTGCTAACGTTTCGTTAATATTTTTTTTTTAAGTTCCAGGTCCGATTGGATTCTTTCTGTGAGTTTTGATCCGAACTATGAAAAAAACAAACATTTTAACGAAACGTCGCTAATGTTTCGCTAATATATTTTTTTTTAGGTTTCGGGTTCGATTGGACGACTGGATCCTTCAGTAAGTTTGAATCAAAACTTTAAACAAAGAAAAATTTTTTTTTTTTAACGAACCATCGCTTACCATTACCGCCACTAATAATTTAGACGAGAATAGTACAAAAAAGGTAAGCTTTTTAAAAAAAAATTGCATTGCTTAGATATTCGCTTTTAATTAATGATTGGATATATCTAATTACTTCTTTTTATGAATTTATTTGATAGAAAAATTAGCAATACTGGTTTTTGCTCTATCAATTTCATATAATTATATTCTTTCTGACGGAATGTTTTTTAGCCTAAAAATCAACGATAACAGTATACATTCAGAACAAATCATTGAAGAAAAGGAAAGATTGTGAGGATGAAGAAGAATGTAGTGTGTTGCTTGATGAAGAAAACGAAGCTGTCCTGATAAAAAGCATCGATGAAAGCGGGCTAAAAAGTGAAACAAAGCTACCTATCTCAAACCCATCTGATATATCCGAATATAAACTGTCAAATGGTAGTGATTTATTGAACATTTTTAAAAGGATCAAATGAATTACCCCAAATGCAGTCGAGTTACTACGTAAGCTTTCACTATGATTTAATATCTGTTATATTATAATGATCTGATCTTTGTACTTATTGCATGTTTATCATCTATAACGTTTCGTTGATTAATTTTTTTTTTTTTTTTAGGTTTTTGGTTCGACCTCGGTAAGTTTGAATCGAAACTTTTAAACAAAAAAAATTTTTTTTTTTTTATTAACAAAGCATTGCTAGAAAAAATAAACTACTCTTTTACAACCACTCATAATACTTCAAATTATTAACATCACTTTTAGCAATTGGGCGCGTTTGTTATTAAAAATATTCTATACAGAAATCCTTACCTAACCATCAAGTGATCATCATAAATTAATCACGAACTGTAAAACATCACTTTCGCTTTATAACTCATTAGTTTTGAAATCTTAAGAAATTGGTATCCTGACGCATCGCAAAAAATACTAATAAATAATATAATTTTATAAGATGAATGAATTAATTTTTAATGAGCGAGATAAACAATATTAAATTAATAAACGTGATTTTTAATTAATTTATTTTATTGGGTGAATTTTTAGAAATAAAAAGTAAATAAATTATAAATTATAAATATAAATAAATGAATCATTAGCTGATATTAACTAAATATAGTAATAACTTCTATCAACATGTTCTTTTTAACATCCGGATAAATAATTTAACTATGTCCAGAAAATTTTATTTATATATATATATATATGGAGTCATTAAGTCATTGTCATTACATACGCCAATCTTTTTTATCTGCATTGATTTGGAAATTTATTTAAACTAATTTGGAAAAATTAAAATATTAATATTTTTGAATATTAACCCTGAGAATTTTTCGTTTATAATTTTTTTAAAATAATTTTTATTATTTTTTATAATTCATAAAAATGTCAAAGTGGTTCTGCCTGAAAAAAAAATCAAAAAAACGGGCGAAAGCCAAAAGTGCTGATACTATAACTTCCATTACCCCTTCACGTTCTAATGATACCGAAAAACTAAACCTCACTGAAGAACGTCTGAAATTATGTGCTGATGAGATAAATACTTTTTCTTTTGAAGAAAAGCCAATAAACATAAAGGTTGAAGATTCTAATACGACATCTACCTCTATCCCCTCTTCATTCGCATCTGATTTAAAAAAATTAAACATCACTGAGGAACGTTTGAAACGTTATGCTGATGAGGCAAATACTCTGTCTTCTGATACAACAATAACTTCTAATACAGAAAATGAATTAAAGACTAAAGTTACATTTTTGCGAGAAAAGGCTATATCCAAAACGCTCAATAACATCAAACTCTCAATGAAAGTTGATCTTTGCTTTGTTTTAGACTGCACAGATTCTATGGAGCCTTTTATTGCTGCTGCTAGAGATTGTATCATACAGGTGACAAACTACATTAAACATACAAATCCAAGCATTGAACTTCGGGTCGGTTTTTGTGGTTATCGAGATCATTGTGATGGAGATGGTCGTCTACAATTTTTAGATTTTACCGACAAATATGAGCAATTTATAACATATATGCAAAGTGTATTTCATTACGGTGGCGGTGATGCTCCTGAGGATGTTCTCGGAGGTCTTAATGAAGCAATAACCAAAATGGATTGGAAAAATGGTACTCGTGTTCTTCTTCACATTGGTGATTATCCACCACATGGTACAAAATTTACAGATTTGTCAGATAGTTATCCAAATGGTGATCCACATGGCCTAACCGCAGAAAATGTCCTAGAAAAGATGCAATCAAAAAATATCCTTTACTTTTTTGGAAAAATTACAGATTATACTGAAATAATGCTTCAAATATTCCGTGGTATAATTGGTGAATTTCCAGTATTTGATCTTATAGGAGGAGATCCAATTAAATTAATTGAAAAATTTATTAAAGCTACCTCAACATCTATTACTTATGCTGTTTCAATGACCAGTACTATTGGAAGCGACTCCAAGTATTTGTATTCTTTTCAACGAAAAAAACTTGATATGAATCCAAATGAGCCTGATTGGATTATTCTTCCGTTACAAGAAGGAATAGTTATGTGGTATCCTATTCTCGATACTTTGGACGAACTTAAAGACCCAAATTATTTCAACAAATCGAATCTCTTTTCTAGAAGTTTCTCCTTTAAGATTGCCTCACAACCATTTTCTGCAGGTGCTGAAAAATATGCTTACTTTGGTCTTGATATCGAAAGAAATCCAGCAAAAAAGATGGTGATAAAAGAATACCTTCATATTGGGCGAAATGATTCTTTTGAAAAGTATATTGAGGCGGTAGAAATCTCTACAATTGCATCTTTTCTTTCTACAGAATTTAATTTGATTACAGAACGAAAAGATCTTCCTAAAGTAAAATTTCTCAATGTAAAACTTTTACGTTGTGGAACTATCGATTTTAGTACTCGATATTATACTATTGAACCAAAATTTCATAATATAGAATACAAACGATTTAATGCAAATACTGGTGTAATTACAGAACTTCGGCCTATTCTTGAAGCTTTCGTCCATTTCACGTATGAATACACCAAAGGATACTTAGTGGTTTGTGATCTTCAAGGAATTGAACTTACTAATGAGTTCTTATTAACTGATCCAGCAATACATTGTGTTGATTCTTTAAGATTTGGAAGAACAAATTTTGGCAAAGAGGGAATCAATCAGTTGTTCTTGGCAAATCATAGATGTAATGATATTTGTAAACAACTAAAATTAAAACATATTAGTAATGGATTATCAGAAGATGTAGCATAAAGTCATATAATATTAAGAATTTATAGTTTGTAAATATTTTTTTTTTTTTTAAAAAAAAAAAAATTATCTGAATTTTTTGATCTTTTATTAAATTTTTCGCCAAATGGTGATTAAAATGGTAAAATAAAAGCCATGATGATTGATGATGCAGAAATTACATGTAATATACAAAGCCATCATTTTACAAACATTTTTAGAATAAAGGCCTATGTTGAATCGTTCTCCACTCTGAGAGCATTTTCGTTGGTTAAATTATAAGACCTTCCAAATTAATTCTCTCTTTTTTTGAAAATTCAGATTAAATATATCACGTGACCGACATAACCAACTAATAGTTATTAAGCACGCGCCTTACACAAATGGATCATGTTCTACATAATCTGTTCTATAATTTAAAATTTTTTTTCATCGTTTATAACATAATGGTGTAGTTAGCCAGAAAACGGAACCGAATTCCTGATTACCGATCATCCGGACCCGGTTTAATCGCAGAAAATCCCCTGGAATTCCACGACGATCTATCCTGAGCCGGGTCCGGATCACGTTGCGGCTAATATTTTCCGGCTAACTACACTATTATGCTTATAACTCTATTTTTACCAATTCGCGTCCAGGTTAGATATCTAACTGGAACCCATAAATAAAAATAAAAATAACTCTATTTCCACCATCATTGCTGTTTATGAACAATAAAATAAAAATTTTTAAGACTTGCTGATTGAAATACGGGGTTATAAAATTAATGATCGGAAATATCTGTACAATTTATATAATGAAACATTGGCTAGTATTATAAAAATTTGATATGAATTTATCATTTTATACCTTGCAAAGTTAAATATATTTTGTAAGATTTTGTACCATGTGTTAATCCGTTAATTCTTTGTCAATATTAATTGTAAATGGTCAAACATGGTGTCATCCAGTAACGTACAAATAAAGACCTTTATTTAATGACATAATTACAAATTTTATGATAGAATTCACTAGGATGGACTGGAGGAATGCACGAAACTTTTGGAAACAAATTTATTAATCATTTAACTGATTTATTATGATATCTTGATCCACATCATGCAAATTGAAAAAAGCATGAATGTAATTTGCCAAGAGAAAAAGAAATGATTAAATAAAAAAAATAATCAATTTTATATATTACTACATATATGTTTATTTAATGTGTTTGTTTGTTTAAATTATGCCTCCTCCCAATTTTTTTAGACAAAAAGGACGTTAAATTAATTATTAATTTGAACGGCCTGGATCGGTCCCAGCAAAGACCAGCCCGGTCCTACTACGTATATTTTTTTATTCAATAAAATATACAAATTTTGTGTTTATATACATTACATTGTTCAATAAATATGTCTATTTTTAGTTTTTTTAGTTTTTTTCGAAAATCAAAATTTTCAGATAATTTTTTCACACTTCAAAAAAAATTCAAAAAAAAAATTCAAAATGAATTTTTTGTATTTGAAAATAATTAATAAAATGCGTTACTATTTTTTTTTTTTTTTAAAAAAAAAAAATGTTATAAGATAGTAGGCTAAAAATGAGTCATCATCATGTGATCACCAAGAAAATTGATGAAATACAACCGAGTTGCCTTTAAGTTGATTACAACAACAACAGTTTGGAAGTCTATGTAAAGAAATAATTAGTTAATTAGAATCCAAATATTCCCATCAGTCCGGTAATATTTTCATAGATTATTATGTAATAAACAAATTCAAACTCGCGGTAAAGTTTAAATATTTTGCTATTATAAGATGAAAGAATACAACTTCAAAGTTATATCAGCTTATTTGAATAAATATATACGAATCTTTATTAATATTATAAATACACTATTTTTTTAAAATTCGTTGTTAATAATATAATTAAAATAAATACTGTACATCATTATCCATAAATACACTCTATACACTGTTTTTTTTAAATAAATAAATTCATTAAATTAATTAAAAAAGAAGGAATAACTATTTGTTGGAAAAATGATGGCTTACAAAATTAGACAGCAAGCAGCCCTCAAGTTGAAGGAGAAAATTTCAAAAAGTCGAGAATTTGAGTGTGTAATAAAGCACGTCAGAACCTACAAAGCCATGTTCGGGAAGGTTATAAGGCCGCACGGTCATCATATATATTATTATGCTTTAACAACGAAAACAAGATGATGGATGCAATTTATAAATCGGCGATGGAAGATATAGGAGAGTCGTTACAGATGAAAAGTCAACAAGAATTATTTGGGAAAAGCGAGCAATACATTTTTGACGGGTCAAAAAAGAAAGTCAAATCCAGCAAGTACCATGTCTACACAACTGTCAGACGACTTACAAATGGACATTGAGTCATATTTTGATGTGGAGGATAAGTTAAAAGATACAACAACAATGCCAGCGCCCACGCCGATTAAAGTCATCACATATTGGAATGAGTAAAGAGATTGTAGAAGAATTTATACATTTAAATGAAGATTTTAGTAAAAGATTACCAGTGAAACCATCAATTACAACAAAACCAAAAATACAGGAAATCTAAGTTTGGACAATTCGGATGTAAAGAAAGAAAAAAGAAAAAAAGAAGGCAATTACTCGTGCAGATGTAGTATCGGATTCAGATTATTGATTTTTGAAGTTTAATTATTAGAGTTCATGTAAAATATACACAAATCCTAGTAAATTTTCTCGCTATGGCGATATCGCTAGTCCTTAAATGTCATGTGATTAGTGAATTTATCATGTGATTTTATTAGTCAATAAATTGTACAAATTAATTGTTTCGTATTCTATTAATACATTTCTCATTAAAACATTTTCTACTCTATTAATATATTCGTTTTATCCATACATTCTAATTAACTATCTCCAAGCCCAACCAATTATTCCAAACCAAAGTTAAATATTTTGTTCCTAGTTAAAGTAATGAAGTTCGTTAATATAAAAAATAACAGGGTATGTAAAACAGATACAACAATTACTACCTTTCAATTTTTCTGATAGTGCCCGACTTTCCCACATTTTTTGCAATGTCGTTGATTTCATGATTTAGGTTTACAAGCTTTAGTAGATGACTTAAATCTTTTAGTTCCCAACGGTCATCTTTTACCACATCTTTTTTCGGATTTCGCGACATTGGTACCAAAGGGTCAATATGAGTTATCGTTTATTTCATCTTCTTGATTTATTTCATTCAATTCTTCTGAATCTGATTTCCCAACTTCTGAAAATTCTTGTAACAATTTAATAAGCTGTTCCGAGTTAGAATTAGATCGTAAAGCCTTGTTAATGCTTTCTTATACATTCCATGTAATTTTCCATACATAAATTTCAGTACTTTGAGAACAGATATACGTACAACGACGGACAATGTCTTTCTCACGACTTACACGAACTTTAATGATCTGAAACCCTTGTTGTTTAGCCTAACCATCTATAAAGGCTTTGCAATCTTCACATAATTGAAATTTCTTTCTTGAATATAATAGTACATGTTCGTCCTTATTAGACAAGATCGCTTCGTTACAATCATCTAAAAAAAGTAAAATAAATAAAATAAAAAGAAGGGTTAGAAATGATTACTTCATAAACTAATTCTAACCCCAAAGCATCTATTCTAATCCTTAACCTAAACCCACTCTCCTTACCCTAACCTCCTTACCCTTACCTAACCCTAAGCTACTCCAGACCAACACCACTCTAGAGACAACGAACCTAACCTAAACCAACTATCATTACCCTTACCCTAAGCTATTCCAAAGCCAATACCACTACAAAAGCCGACGTTACTTTAAAGCCAACATTACTTTACCTAATTACATACCATGAGCAAATTCTAAAAGATGAATATTTTCGAATTCTTCTTCTTACATAAAGTAGGTTTACGTTAAAGGGAAAAAAATAAGGGAAAAAATAAATGAAAATAGGTATGGTTTATTAAAGAAAGTAAAAGTAAAAAAATAATGAGAGAGAAAGTAAACGTGGGAACGTGGTCGACTTGAAGTATAAATCTCATGACTACTACGTGAATCATGTGATAAACAGGGACTACGCATCCGCGATAAATAATAATTTCTATTTATTTATTTTTTATTTTTATTTTTAAAATATAGACAATGATGGGAGCCATACAAGTTTGTATTTTTTAATTTTATTTTTACTTTATTATTTATTATTTATACTTTAATTTTTTTATTACAGATCACGTGCCTTAGTTAGATCTTTTAGCATAGTATTCAAATTTTTTTTAGATAGACTTTTTAGGAAAAAAAACTCTTTCCCCTTTTTTTATTTTATTAGTTTTCCGCAGTAAATAGCGAAGGTTTTTTTTGAGTTTTCATATTTAATATATACTCTTAAGGGGAAGAGGCCCTATAGGGCGCCTCGGGCATACGACGAGGTTTTTAGTGTTCTTACTTTACCCATATTCAAGGGTTGGTTATGTCTTATCTCCCACGAGCAGATGACTTTGTTCCTAGACCCGGATACGACTATACACCTGTTGGTCCTGAAGACTTCATTTTTAACCATAATACAACAAACTCCTTATCACCCACTGAAGACAATTTGTCAGATACCCCTCCACTCTCTGAAAACCTTAAGGTTATTAGGCCCTCTCCTTCATTTTACAAAAAACAAAACTATATTTTCTCTACGAAATATGAAAAATTTCATGTGACTCCAAACCATAGAGCCGGTTATAACAAGATTTACAACTTTAGGCGTTCAAAAAGTTTCTTTTTTGAGCTGGTTGATCATTTACCGAACACCAATCAACTTCAATTGAAGATTTACACAAATGATTATCATATGTCTTCTGACCCGATTAATCATAATTCCACAAGTCAACTCCCAAATTTCAAATTTCAAATATCGAAACAGCTCACGCACTTTTTTTCCACACAAAAAGTTATTCCTCGACGATTTCAAGAAAAATTTTTCAGGCTTATTCGTAAAAAATTATTGGAGCGCTTAGATTTTATAGTATCACGTGCTCAAAAGAATGATGAAAATAATCACATGACTAAAACTTTTTTTAATTTTTCGTATAAGAAATATAGATTTTATTTTGGTATTTACCTCCCATGTAATCATAGTCATACAGTGGATCCGCTCAGCAATACCGCTGTGGCCTGTCTTACCCCAGCTCCTTTCACAATGTCATTTCACCATCACGCCTGTATTACCCATCACAAAAAATTGATCCTGTACTTTACTTCAAAGGATAACAAAATACCTGATGTCAGTAACTGCAAGACTTTCAAAGATTTCCACGCAACTCATATTTACAATAGATGGGCCAAAAAGAAGACATGTAACAACTTCTCGAATTGATTAGGCATTTCTTTTACCACAACGTATCGCGCTTATAATAGTAATATTGTAGCTAAAAAAGGACTCGATTTTATCTACGGCAAAGTTTATCGGAATTTTAGACGTACTCCTAGTTCATCTACAAAAGTCAGAAAAAGACAAGAGGCACGCTTCGATGCATCGATAAGGCATACTTTTCATAACGCTAATCTACAAATTGATGCTCCGATGGATGATAAACTCCGAGCTGCACAGCATCATATGCTTTTGTTTCAAGAAAATCAACAATTCAGCAAGCCTATTAAACATCTTCGTTACAAGAAAAAATTTATCATACCCAAACAAGATGATTATACCTTTCTACTCCCATTTCCTGAAACTAACACTATTCCTATAGTAGCCACGTCCGATTTTAGTCATATTGACAGCTCCGTTGTATCTCCACCCTTTGGTAATTCTACACCACCACCATCTGTTATTGATATTTTTGAAAACGTGCCACTACATTATATTTTGTTAATTCCAGAAGAACCCTTTTATGAAGGCGGTCTACACAATCAACCTTCTCGCAACAGAATTAGGAAACACAATCTGAAACCACTTACGGTTGGCAGTCATGCTTGGTTAGCCCATATGAAAGAAATTTATGATATCCATATAGAGGATACGAAATATGAACTGGATAAAATTGATGCTGGAATTTGATGGGATACTACTCCCGAAAAAGGTATCTACTGAGAGGATCTTTGCGGCATGATTATGGAATATACCACCGCTCAACATGATTATGAGTTAAAATTACTCGAAGTCTCATCTATCATGCAAACCGTGCCTGGATCACTTAAGAAAAGCAAACAAAGGAAACGAGAAAAAGAAATAGCACAGAAAAAACAAGAAGATACAGAAATCTTAGAAGAGTTATTTAATTGTGTCAAAACTATAGACCATGCTATATACATGGAATACCACAGGGAAGAAGTTGGTTTAAAATATCAGCCTTGTGCCCTTATGGAGGATCGAACACTCAAACGATGTGCCAATGATAACGGCAACTTAGACACTTTCTACGGTCATCATAAAAATAAAAAGGTTTGTATGATATCCACCTTAAAGGACTTGGAAATGAGTTCATCTGACAATATTATCTAGTATCTGTTCGTTCGTTTTATTATATAGATTTTATACATATAGTTTCTATTTGTACTATTTTAACAACTTAAAATAGTGTAAACCATTCCACCTCTTGCAGTATTTACAGGTGGCAACCTTATGGGTTGAAAGAAAAATACGGATTAGTGCTCGTCATTTAATTGATTTTATTTTTTTCTGGTGGGTACCTGTTCCTCTATTGGTAGTAATTCAGGATCAGTCTATATAACAAGAAGTATGGGTCCGTCCAGATCTTTGGGTGGATGATGGACTAAAGGTTGGGCAAGGTCTTTTAGATTCTATGTTCTCTTAAATAGTCTTTCCGGCTTTACATAAAATAAAATAAAATAAAATAGATAGACTTTTTAGTTATAGGGATATTCAATTTTTACCTCTATGTATTTCTAAAATTAATGTAATTAATGTGTAATCTATGCAAATATGATTCAATTAATAAAGAAATGCGTCACTAAAAAAAAAGGAATAACTATTTGTTTCCAATACTCAACAAGCAATTTGGAGAGTGGACTTTTGACCTTGAGTCCAAAATTTATTTTTGTATCAACAATCAAAATTGATTTACCCAATATAATATTCTTTACAGAAACTTTAAGTTTTCAAGTGATATCATTTCATTATCATTTTGATATCATTTCAATATCGATTTAATATCGATATGATAGTATTATCACTTTGATATCATTTCGATATTAAATCAATATCGAAATGATATCAAAATGATAATAGAAATGATATCGAAACAACATCTTTAAGTTTATGCTATATTTATGAATTTAAAGAATATTTTTTTACTTGATTTACAAATTTTAAACTTAATGAAATTCTATTACTTTAATGTCATCAGCTCTTTACAATGTATATAAAAAGTTTCAAATCATATATCCTGATCCTACAACACTAGGAATGGTCTTATATGCTTATATTTTTTTGGTAATTTGTATTTAATATAAATTGAATAAGTTAAAAAAAGAAAAAATGATTTATTTAAATTACAAACTAAGAAACTTATAAAATGTTTACTACTTTAGCCTTAGTGTTTAAATAATTCTAAATAAAATGGAAAAAGAGAATATATATATTTAACATTTGGATAAGCTATAAAAAAAGGGAGTTATTTAAATTACAAACTAAGAAACTTGTAAATATTTTACTACTCTCATCTTAGTGTTTAAATAAATTTAAAAAGAACAAAACAGGAGAATTTTTGTTGGATGCATAAATCAAATATCACAAAAAATATATTTTTTTAAAAAACATAAACAATTAGTTATTTTCATGTTTAATATCTAGATAATTAAATAAATTAAATCAATTACACTAAATAATTTGCGAAATTGCTTTTTTTTATAATATATTACATACCTAATCCGAATGACTTCATATTTTTAATTATACAATCGTTCAAATTATCACTTATTAGCATTTCTTGTAAATCTTCACTTTCAAGAATTTCATTCAATTTTTTACTAGTAAAATCAAGTAAGCGACTTGTATAACATGCTTGTGGATGAGATTCAGTAGAAAGGTTATTATGCTCAATTGGTGCATTTATAAATTCCATAACATTGCATTTTAATTTTTCATTAATATCCTTAGCTTTCATTTGATATGGAAGAAAAATCCATTCTTCAATAATTTCTAAAACTTCTTCAGAAGATGGCCTTTTTAATGGATTTTCATCCCAACATTTTTTCATTAAATCTACATAGCATTGTGGAGTATTTTCAATAATTTCAGGACGTTCACCCTTACAAATACTTAAACTAAGTTGAAGTTCATGTGCTCTATTATTAAATGGTGGCACTCCAGATGTAAATTCCCACATAATCATAGAAAAACCATATATATCACTAGCTGTAGTATGAGAATTACCTCTTAAAACCTCAGGGGCCATGAATGGCATAACACCATAAATATCATACTTTTTTAAAAATGATTTTGCAGGCTGACATAATCCTAAATCACTAATATAAATTTTATCTTCCTTATGATTTAAAATGTTGCCATCATAAAAATCACAATGAACAAGATTTTGTTTATGTATCTCATTAAGCCCAGAAATAATTTCATGCAACATATGTAATTTTTGTTTCCAATTATTTTTGATTATTTTTGTTAAATTTCCTCTTAAATTACCTTTGTTTGCATAATCCATTACTACCATATAATTTAAAGTATCTGGGTTTTTTGTAAATCCATAGAAATAAATTATATTAAATGATTTTAAACAACTTTCATGATATTTCCACTGTAAAAATAACAATATATTAGCATAATTAAATTATAATTTAGATTTTAAAAAAATAAATAAATAAATAATATATAAACATACTTCATTTAAAAATTCATTTAAATTTTCATTTAAATTATTGTGACATTTAAGAATCACTTCTTTAGCTTCACTATTATTTAACCAAGTAGCTTTGTATATAGAACCAAATCCTCCTTCATCAAGATATTCAATATTTGTAAATTTATTATAAGGAATCCATTTTAAATTTTTTTTTAGAATAAATTCATCAATAATTGCATTTCCACTTTTTCCAAATCTAAAATTTAAATAATTAAAATTGATATCAAAATTTGTATCAAATTTTAAAAAAATAACACTTACTCTAAAATTTAATTAGAATTATAATAAAGTGTAAACTTAGTTTTTGTATTAATACATATATATATATATAACCTATAATCAATAACTTACCAACTAAAGTAACAGATATTTTTCAAATAAAGTATTCAGTTAATTAAACCTAAATATTATATAAAATATATAACCAATAATAAATAACTTACATGCTATTTTATTAAATAATTTTTTAAATAAAGAATTTGGTTAGTTAAAATGTAAATATTATATAAATATCCCGAACCATTATCTTTCGTTCGGGATTATCTCCGGCTGCTAATAATAGGATTAAATAAGTAACTCACCTCCTATGTTATCAAATAATTTAATAATTTTTAGATAAAGAATTTAGTTATATATAAATACAGTATATAATAATTAATAGATTAATTAAATGACTTACTACTCCCTATATTATGATAATTTTTTAAATAATTAGTTCAAATATATATGTAACTATCATATAAACATGTAATAATAGATTTAAATAAATAATTTATAACTTACATTCTAATTAAATAAAGAATTTAGTTAGTCTAAATTATAGTAAGTATTATAAATACTATATGTAATAATACTGGAATTAAATAAATAACATACCCCCTATATTATGAGATAAAATTTTAAATAGTAAAGAATTTGGTTAGTTTGTATTATATGTAAATATTATATAGTAGAATCAAATAACTTACCCCCTATTATGAAATAATTTTAATAATTTTTTAAAATAAAGGACTTTAGTCTAAATTATATGTAAATATTATGTAACTATGTATAATAGAATTAGATAATAAATAACTTACCTCCTATATTATGAAATAAAATAAAGAATTTATGTTATTATATGTAAAATGATATAAATATGTAATACTAGAATTAAATAAATAACTTACTACTCCCTATATTATGAAATAATTTTAACAATTTTTAAATAAATAGTTTAAATTAGTATGTAAATTATATGTAATAATAGAATTAAATAAATAACTTACACCCTATATTATTAATAATTTTTTAAATAAAGAATTTAGTTAGTTTAAATTATATGAAATATTATTTGAATATGTAGTAATAGAATTAAATAATAGCTTATAACTTACGTTCTAATCAAATAGAAAATTTAGTTAGTTTAAATTATATGTTATATAAATATTGTACAAACATGTAATAATAGAATTAAAATACATAACTTACCCCCTACATTATTAAAATAGTTTTAAATAAAAAATATAGTTAGTTTAATTATATGTAAATATTTATATATAAATATGTAATAATAGAATTAAATAAATAACTTACACCCTGTAATTTTTTTAAATAAAGAATTTAGTTAGTTTTAATAAATTATATGAAATATTATATAAATAATAGAATTAAATAAATAACTCATAACTCACGTTCTAGTAATTAAATAAAGAATTTAGTTAGTTTAAGCAATATGTAAATACTGTATTATATAAATAAGGAAAATTAAAATAGATGACTTACTCCCTAGTATATTATGATAATTTTTTAAATAAAGAATTATATTATATGAAATGTTATATAAATATACAATAATAGAATTAAATAAGTAACTTACACCCTATATTATGAAATAAGTTTAATAATTAATTTAATAAAGTAAATATTATATAAATATGCAATAATAGAATTAAATAAATAATTTACCCCCTAATAATTTTTTTAAATTAGTTAGTTTAGAAATATTATATTATGAAATTAGATAAATCAATTCTAACTTACTTTCTAATTAATGTAAAGTTTAAATTATATGTAAATATTATATAAATATGTAATAATAGAATCAAATAAATAACTTATAACTTACCAACTAAAAGAAATCACCAAATAATTTTTAAGCAAAGAAATTAGTTAGTTTAACCTATCTAAGTAATAGAAATGTTGATAACATATAACTTACACCCTATAGTATTATTAATTATTAATTAGTGATATGAAATATAATACGAAAGTGTATGCTGTAAATTAAATATATCACTTACACTCTAATCATTTAAATAGAGAATGTATAATTAGTTAAGTTATATAAATTATTGATATTTAAGAATATTATTAAATATTGTAATTTACCATCTGCGATATAATTAATTATTAAGTAGTTATTTGAACAAAAAATTTAGTTATTTGAATATTATGAAAAATAAGTAAAGAGTTAAAGATTTAAATAGCCAATAACTTACCAACTATAGTATTATTAATCGTTAAATGAATCATTTAGTTATATGGAATATAACAAAAATAAGTAATTCCATTATTATTCAATTATAAAATAACCTATTAACTTACAAGCTAAATCATTTAACATAATTTTTAAATAAAAATATAGTTAGTTCAAATTAATGTAAATTTATTTTTATTTAAAAATTTTACTGTTTAGTGTTTTAGCTTGTTTAATATATTATATTTACCTTCAGGTTCCTTGGTGCTACTTGAAACTTATTGCAATTTGATTAATTTGATTAAAAATGTTAGAATAATTCTAATTTATATTAAATATTCATGCGCTTTTTACCTTTATTATTATCATGAGCCATTACTATATAATTACGGTATATCAAAACTGAAAAAGTAATGTGGGTATATACAAACAATATTTATGCTAAATACAATATTTGCTAATATGTTGATCATAACACAAGCTTTATTGTGGCGCAGCAAAATCCATTGTACAAGCGTGCTTAATAATGCACTTCATGCCACTGCCACATCAGATCATTATTAAGCATAACGCTCGTACAATAATATACAATATATAACTTCTAAAAGACACGTAACTTTAATGACGAAATTAGGTTTGAATTTCATTTTGACTTTTCATTAAAATCATATTAAAATGAAAAACATAATAATTATATATTAATTTGACAATTTATTTAAAAGAAATTTTTCTATAAAAAAAATAGAATAAAATCATAATCATAAACACCAATTTGATAATTTAATTTCACAGAAAATTATATTTAAAAAATTTCTTTTTTATACAATTAAAATTTTCATTTGTATATAAAAAAAAGATATAGATACTATTTTGACTTTAAAAAAAAAAAAAAATTAAATTAAAAAAAAATATCCATAATTAAATGAAATTATAATAAAAAATCAATCTGCTATTTGAATTATATTAATAATCATTTCTCAAAAATTAACAAAATAATATGGATATATAAACTATTAATCCCCTGTCGCACTAAGTGTTCACTCTTGATCACCTTCATACTAATTTATAAAAATTGCGAGTGATTAGCTGAGTTTATATGACCGGAATCTTCGTTTACTTATTTTCCGGCCTCATACAGATAGCCGGGAAATTACTAATTTTAATTTATAATAGTTAAGTTTAATATAGTTAATATTTAATGAGTGACACGCTTCATTTATTTCATGGGAAAGGGTTTTTATCCCTTCAGGAAAAAAAACCCTATTATTCCCAACTCCCTATAAAATAAATGAAACAAGACTTAATATTCTGTAATGTTTTTAAAACGAAATTACAATTATTAGTTGTAATTGTACAGGAGTTTTTTTTTTGATAGAGAATTTCGTTAAAGAATTTTTTTTTAATAGAGGTAGTAGTTTTTTTTTTGATAAAAAAATTTCATTGAGAATTTTTTTTTTTATAGAAAATTCATTGAAGAATTTTTTTTAATAGGGAGATTTTTTTTGATAAAGAATTTCATTGGAGAATTTTTAATAGGGAAGATTTTTTTTTTCTTGATGGATAATTTTTCTTTATAAAGAAATTTTTTCGATAGAGAATTTCGTTAGAGAATTTTTTTAATATGGGGTTTGTTTTTAGAGAATTTCGTTAAAGAATTTTTCTTTAATAGAGATAAATAATTTTGCTGAGAATTTTTTTATGATAGAAATTTCATTGCAGATTGCTTTTTTATATAATAGGAGATTTTCGTTATAAATTTTTTCTTTAATAGGGGATATTTTATTTTTGATAATTTTGTTGGTTGAAAAATTTTTTATAGAAAACTCTTTTTTTTTTATGGAGAATTTCGGTTAGAAGTCTTTTAATAGAAAATTCTATTGAAAATAATTTTTAATACAGTAATAATAAGGGTATTGAGAATTTTGGCTTGAAATTTTTTTTTCAATAAAGAATTTTGTTAGAGATTTTATTTACGATTTGATAAATTTATAAATTAATTATTTTTTTTTAATGAATATTATATTATAAGGTTTGCTAGCAGTATAAATTTAAAATTTTAAAACTTGCTTAATTTACTATGCTATTTATGCTATTAGGATTCTATCATGGTTTTTCTTTACTTTGTATTATTTTTAATACTTTCTTTGATTTATTGTGACTTTTATATTTCTGTTTAAATAAAAATAATAAAACTAAGAAAGCTATTACTAATTAATATATCATACATAGTACGGTGTGGGCTACTGCAACTACTGGAAAATAAAATCTAAGTTAAAAACAAAGAAGTTAATGATTCCGGTACAATAAACCTAAAAGGCCAGACTAAAAATAATAAGAGTATAAAATGAGGTACTCGTACAGACGTACAGTCGTACTATATTCGTCTGCCGCCTGGCACGTGATGATGTACAGTACAACAAGCGAATAGCGTTACAAAGTTCATGCGCACATACATGCAACATCGATGTCTTTTCCTAAATAGAAAATTACACAATATTATACGTTTCGAAATATATTACGTGAACCGACTATTTTTTTTCGATCGTTGAAATGAACTGCGGACTAAAATAATATCGGGCAAACAGGAAAGAAACTAGTTCTGTACAATAATAATTTATAGAAAATTTAAGCGTACTTAATATATAATGTAAAAAACCATATTAAAATAAATAAACATGGCTATAATTATTAGATAACAGATGATTTCAGTTGATGGCAATCTTTCTATATTAAAACAATGTAATCTTATTTGACAATTTTTTTTGTAAAGAAAAATTTATAAAAATAAGTTTATCTCACTTATCGACATTACATGTTTATTAAATTGAACCAACCATTATATCCGAATTCAGGAATGATTTTAGCAAATTAACAAATTAGATATATACTATAAAAATTATAATAATTTTAATATTACTTAAAATGGTATATATGTTGAACTCCTAGATAGCATTTAAACCTTATAATATGCATTATGCATTTCAGCCATTTACAGAAACTATTTTTGATACATTTTATCACATAATGGATTAAGTATAAATAAAGACTATCATCTCATCAAATATGTGTAGTTCCTATTGACAAATAAATTTATGCTTATTAAGTTTCCTTATTCTTATTTTATTTGATAGATTATGAAATGTGGTGGTAATATGTAATAAGAAATGATACTACTACTAGTCTGCTACTACTTTACAATCAAACAATGCCTTTAATGCTATTATCATTCTTGAGGAAGGAATAAATAATAACTGCATCTAAAATTAGTTAATAAATTTAATATGATATACTAGGAAAAAATATTTTAAACCTTATTATCATATGAATAATTAGATATTATTTCTTCTACAGACCTCCATAAAACATGATGAAAGCCAACTACCAAGATAACAAATCCTTTTAATTTATTAGGATTTGACTTAGTTATTTTAACCCGTTCATCAAATATTCCTGAACTAGAATAATTAATTGTTTTTCCATTTGAAATAACATTCATATATGATTTCAATTGATTAACCCCATTGTCTAATACTTCTCCTATAGTTGTTTGTTTGGTTTCTCCATATTCTCTTGACCAATATGAATATGATCTTTTTAACAAAACCTCTTCATTTTCTTTTTCAATAATTTTATCTAGATTTTCTAGATCATTTGCATTAAATTTATTCTTATAATTTTTAATTAAATCAATTAATTTAACCAATGAAATGTATTTTAATTCTAAACTAACATTGCTATCACCTATTCCTTTTAAAACAAAAATATCAGAATATCCAAAACAGCCAAAACCTTTTAATTTTGTACCATCCATTACTAGTGAAAGTTCAGGAATACGATATTTCAATGGTAAAAGGCTTTCAACAATTGCCTGAAGAACAGCCTCATCTGCAGAAAATAATGACATTTTTGATCTTGTTGATAGGAATGTTTTTAAAATTTCAATAAAAGGTATAATATTACCTGCAACAAGATTTTCATATGCTGAAGCTATAAGACAAGCATCATTTACAACTTGTCTATATACTAATTTATCTTTGTTTTGTTCTAAAATTCGAATTTGTTTTGTTACAAGTTCTAATAAATTACATATAAAAAGTTAATAATATTAATATAAATGTAAAAAGTAAGAAAAATAATACAGTATATAATTTACCAGAAGATGAACCAGCATCATTAGTATCTCTCACTCTTTTTAACATTTCCTTTTGTTTAACATGAAAAATTATTTTTTCTGTCCATATTTTATTAAAAGCGGATTCTAATTCTTCTCCCAGACAATATATTTTACTTCCCATATCATTATATGTATAACAATTGTGAAATATGAGACGAATATCATTTTCAAATTCTTTTGTACTTGTATATTGATCATTTTCCAATTTTGAATTTATTGTAAATAAATCCATTTGATTTTTTATAATTTTATTTGAATCTTCTTGTTTTTCGCATATTTATAGAATGGATGAATATTAGATTGTTCATCAAGTTTTTGAAGAATATCATAACAGAAATTAGAAAAATTAGTACTCTTATAAGAAATTTTGGAATGGTTTTTAGCTGAAATAAAATGATCATTAGTAGGAATGGAGTGATCTTCAGCAGTAATAGAATGATCTTTAGTAAAAATGGAATCTTTGGGAGAATTGGAAGAAATGGGATAATCTTTAATAGAATAATCTGATCTTTAGTAAAAATGGAATCTTTGGGAGAATTGGAAGAAATGGAATAATCTTTAATAGAATAATCTTCAGAAAAGGAATGATTTTTATCAGGAATAGACTGATCTTTAGCAGAAACCTCAATTATTTTTAAATGATTTTCTTTTTCTTTTTTATATTCCTTATATTCCTTAATAATTCTTCTCCAGTATATTTGCAATGTTCTTGCATAATGTGAATGTTCTATATTTAACTGTTATAAAGTGATTATTAGTAGTGTGTAAAATTTTATTTAGTGATAAAAGAAGATACATAGTAAATTCCTCCTCCAGAATAAGCAGACTTTTAACAACTACAAAGTTAGGACACCTGATAAGACACAGGTCGAAAAGTGAAAAATCAGGCACCAATCGGTCACAATCAGGTACCTGATTGGTGACCGATTGGTGACTGATTAATGCCTGATTTTTCACTTTTTGACCTGTGAAAGTCCCGGGATGGTTACCGGGATTTGTCACCAGTAATACCCTAAGTCATGATCGGCTAAGGGGTAGCCCTATCATTGCAAAATAAAAAAAATACACACCTTGTCTTTTATATCAGGGAAATCTGTTCCTTCACTTAAAAAACGGCCAGCCCAAAGATTATCAAGGGTTTTCCAATTGTTTAAAACAGCCCAAGTATTATTAAGCTTATCCCAGTTGTCTGAAATAGTTGAAATAACAATGATATCATGGTAATTTTTCAAGAATCCACAATATGAAGCCTTTATTTTTTGCTTTTTTATGTAAGAGATAAGAACTAAAAAAATTAAAAGATAATTATTAGTTATTATATATTACTAATCAAAATTAACATTTTATAAGGCATACCATTTTGACCAGGGTAGCTTTCAGATGTACTCATGTTAATTAATTTCAATAAAAAATTATAAGTTGTAAAATCTCTTAAAATCTGGTTGATAAAATCTTAAAATCAATCAAAATTTTTAAAATTACAAAAAGGAAGGAGTCTTAAATAAAAAAAATCTCCTGTAAATAATATGACTCAGGCTGATGAATTGAGATTGAATTGAGATATAAAAAGAAAAAAATTAATACATGAAATATATAACTGAATCTATTCTTTGTCATATTGTGACAAAATTGTATCATTCTGCCAAATATGGCATGATATAATTTTTGAATAACATTATATCAATATGACAGTTAAAAAATTAAGACATATATAATTTAATTTTAATTTGTATAATTTGTATATATTTAGCAAATAACTCGTTTGACAGAATTTTTATAACTAAATCTATTCTATCAAGATTGACAAAAATTGAATCATTTGCCAAACCTAGTAATGTAGTATAGTCTGACACTTTTGACATATATGTGTTTAAAAAATGAAATAAATTGATAGTACTGTATCTAGATTTATTGAAGATTAACTACATTGAAAGTATTTGCAAAAGTGAAGTAGATCAGATTCTGTTACCATAGTACGCTATGCTTAATAATGTTTAAATAGACAATCATATTAGCAGAATGAAGGGATTTTTAATTATCAGTTTTGAAAAATGTTTTAATAAAGGTATCATGTAATGAGAAGTTCACTATTAGTATTTATAAATTATTAATGTAATTTTGCTTTTGGTAAAAACAAAAAAAAACTCAAAGAAAAGTGTTATTAAAGCTAATAAAAGAAAAGAACAAATTGGTTATTAAAAAATCTATTTAATAAAAAATTCAAATCAAATAATTTCTTTTTATATAGTTTTGCAATTTCAGATTATGAATTTATGAAATTTTGTATTAATAGCATGAACTTGTGCAAGTAAAATGCTGACCAATTTTATATCTATCTTATTGGTAACTTTTTATTGATTGATCACCTGATTTAATTAGTAGTTAAAAATTGAAGATAATGACCATATGCTAAAATTTATTTATATGTAAATTGTATACAAAATCATACAAAAAATATGGCGACTTCCAACTGTGTATATTAGTGATATTGCTTACTCAGGCTAATGCCAAATTTCAACAAGCCAGAAACATTTTTGACACTGTGGAATATGTAAAGGTAAATTATATATAGTTACAAATAGATTTGTAATTCACTGTGAAAAAAAAACAGTAAAGATTTAACCAAATATACATTTGATTAAGTGTATCATTGGATAGGTGGCAGTAATGCCCTGACAAAGTGGTGTATATTTGAGAATGGAAAGATCTACTATCCTCTTATAATAGATATATAATTAAAGGAAAATACTGTATTGGCTTTATAGGCTTTATAGGGGGAAGGAGTCAGAAATTCAGAAGATATTTCTACAAGAAAAGAATTGCCCTATAAAAAAAGTTTGTGCTAAATTTGTGCCAAATTTGTGCCAAATGGGTTAATAATATGATATTTGTTTAGAATTTGTTCGAATTTTATATTATTTTTTAGTACAAATTTTGAATAAATGTTGAATGATTAGCCCGTTTGACACAAATTTAGCACAAACCTGGTTGGGATATATTTCTACATACATTGCATAATTTATTTAGATTGTATAACCATCATACACTTTGCATATAAACAAAATTTTATGGTTATTTTTATCCAATAACTATGATAATTGTATGGTTTCCATATATATGAAAATTACAAAAATTGAATGATTATTTTTCATAGAGAAGTAAAGACTAAAGACAAATTTAGTGCTTAAATCTAAAATAAACTATTCATTTAATCAAAGTGGTTTGTTTATTCCACAAAAATAATCTTTATATTAAAGCTATTGGATTATAGTAAGAATGGCTTTGCTTTCTAAAATATTGATAAAGTAATTTATTATTTATTTATTCTCTACTACTTGCCAGCCTTAGAAATTGAACAAAATAATGCCCAGTAAATAGTTTTTGTATAAATTTGTACCAAATATATATTAAAATATACAATATACAAGGATGAGCCCGTTTGGCACAAAATTTGAATTGATTCGTTCTGAATTAATTCCAAATTCATTCTAATTTTAACTATATTTATGCTGATGTTGAGCCATCTATAAGCCAAATATTTGCCAAAAATGTACCAAATTTATTTATATTTGTTTAATATATGTAATTAAAAATATTGTTTATTTAAAGTAATATTACAGTTTACTCAAAGTTATAATACAGCTTCATTGTATTAACTATCTAAATCTAAATCTATTTTGTATCAATATTAATCTATACTAAAGTTCACATCACGTATAAATCAAGCATTCGATCACTAAAAAAAGAAAAAGTTAAAAAAATTTTTTTTCTAAAGTTTCAAATTCCTTTTTTTGAAACTTACTTGGGATTTTGGTTTCCAAGCTGGAGCCAACTTCACTACAAAAAAAAAAAGGAAAAAATTAAAAAAAAACCTTTTTCTAAGTTTCAAATTCCTTTTTTTCGAAACTTACCTATCTCATGCATCTAACTGAGAGTTGATTTCTCACCAAGATCTGTGTCTAAGCTGCTAAAAAAGAAAAAAATATAAATTAGCAACTGTTTTTAGAAGACATAATAAAAGACGGAATAAAACAAAAAGATATTACTCCCACTGAAGTTTCACATCTAAAGAGTTGAAGAACTGTCTAAAAAGTAAAAAGAACAGATAGAAAATGTTTGTCAAAATAAAAATTTTAAGAAAAAAAATGACAATCTTACCAAAATGCTGCATCTGGAGAGACCAGAAGAACCATCTAAAAGAAGAAAAAATTGAAACATTAGAAAACGTTTCATTAAAATAAATAGCTAAGAATAAAATGCCCACCAAAATCCACATCCGGAAGTTCAAAGAATAGGTTACCTAAAAAGAAGAAAGAAACATTAATAAATGTTTCTCAAAGAATAGTTCAAAAAAATTCCTCCACCCTACCAAGTTTTTACGCGTCCAAAGACTTGGTCTTCTAAAAGAAGAAAAAACTGAAACGTTAGTATACGTTTCGTTAAAGAAATATATAGAAACATGATATTGTCCGATTTCTTACCAAAATCCCATGTATTTGAAGGGTGGAACGAAGACAAAATCTAAAAAAAGAAAGTTTAGTAGTTTAGTACCAAAGATGACAAAAAAAAACAACAAACAATAAAAAAACCCACCTTTATTTCCAAAGAGACATTAAAATATAAAAAAAGAAACATCAAAACCTAAAGAAGAAAGATTAATTGTTAGTATGAAGACAAATAGATAAAATGAAAATAAAATTGTACACTCACCCAGAAAATCGGCAATACCTAAAAAAGAAAGAAAACCTAAAGAGAAGCTGAAATTTACAAAAAAAAAGAAAATCAAGTTAATAATGAATATGAAGAAATAAAAAAGTGAAAAAAAATGGACACTCACTTGAGAGAATCGGCAAAATCTAAGATAAAAATGAACCATTAATAGTGTTCATTAAATTAAAGTAATTAATGAAAAAAAATTACCCACCAGAAAGAGAACCGTCTAGATAAAAGAAAGTAATGAACTGTTAGAAACTGTTAACAAAAATAGTTAAAAAAAATTGAATACCTTACCAAATTCGTGTTTAAGGAAACTGAAAGAATCACCTAAAAAGACCTACAAAAAAGAAAGGAAACGTTCAGTTAGAACGTTTCTTAAAGAAAAGAAAAAGAAAAATGAAAGTTTTGTAGTAAAACGTACAAAACTTACTGTTTTCTGAATTCTAAATTTCCAGAAACCAAACCTACAAAAAAGAAAGAAATGTTCAGTTAGAACGTTTCTAATAAAAAAATATATAATTTAAGTTA